CCCGACTCGACCCGGCGCCGGCGCGCCGCCAGCCGTCCCCGCCCCGCCGGCGCCGGATACCGGTGTCAGCCGGGACACGCGGACTGTCGCCGCCGGGGCGAGGGGCGGCGCCGGGCGCTCCCGTCTCCTGTCACGGTAGCGGCCCGGCGGCGGTCCGGTCAGGTGCCCGAGGCGCCGGCGTGCCGGGTCCGGTGGCGTCGCCGACGTGGTGAGCCCCCGCCGCCGCTTCGTTGGCGATCCAGATTGGCGGCAATGTTATGTGCCCACAGGGACGTATGGAGGGTGATGCATGGGGCGCTAGCCCCAGCCTTTTGAATGCTACACGAGCAGTACACATGGCCTCGGAGAAACATTGCTTGTCTCCTTATATTTTGGAAGGGAGATATGGATTTTGCTGATTCCGGACGTGAAGAAATTATACCACTCCGTTAGAGAAGCCTGTGCTGGCCCCAGTTTATAAAGCGGGGCTGCGCGCCTCCTCCGTTGTGAAACGACTGTCATTGAGCACCTCTGCACGCTCACAGAATGATGCGATCCGGGCGTGCTTCCTCAGCCTCGAGCAGAGCGCCCCGCTTGTAACAGGCTCGCTCGGGGCCTGGACAGCCGGACCTCCTGTGACCAGACTCATCAGCCCTTGTGACGGGCCGCTGGGAGTGGCGTGACACTACAGCCAGATGTCCGTGCGCCAGGACGCCGACTGCGACTTCGGTTACGGGAACCAGGGATCGATGCTGCCACCAAGTTTCTCGACGGCTTGTCTGACCACTAGCAACAGAGCCGCAGGTGGCATGCCGGCTTACTGTTCCGACGCATCCGCTTCCGTGCCTAATGCGGGGCTTCGACGACGCAGCCAACATTTTGTCGCAGAGAGACAACGATCGGGCACTGTCGTCATTCATTGCCGTCGGGCTTTCGTGCGGCTTCGGGAAGCTGTCGCTCCGCCTTCCGCCGGGCTGCTCAGCGCTGTTTTTCTAGCTACAGCGGCGCGCTCGGGCCGAAGCTAGGATTAGCATGCCGATCGCAGGCTCGCCTCCCTGACTGCCACGTGGCGCGCTGATTACAGCTGACGTCCCGCCCGCGCCGCCGAGGACGCTTCACAGCCTCCGCTAATGGGACGCGATCGGCGGGCGCTCGCGGTGGAACGGCCTATTCGTAGGTCCGGAGAGGAAATAGACGCGTCAGGTGTGGTGCAACTGGTGGTCCAACACCAAGTAGGAGGCGGTCGGGCTCTTTAAGGCACATTCAAGATAAGACGGTACGGTTTGGCGCTGCGGTGCACAAATGCGTAGGTTGGATGGCGTTCAGGATCGCTGCCGCTTGGGTTTTCTTCAACTGGTGTTTAATCCGCCAAATCTACATGGCTTTGGTTACGCAAGTCCTGCTGTGAACTGATTTCTTATTTATGTGCATGCTGACCATCGCACGGACGGTGGTCCGCGCCAACTTAGCCCTGATCGGTGGTGGGGGTTGCGGGGTTGGGGGTGGGAGGTGGAGGTGGAGGAGGGGATATCAACATGTCCCGCCCCTGGTTCCTTCGGATTGGAATGGACTAGAGAGACGAGCTAAACAGAGCTAAACGAGACGAGACGAGATGAGACGAGAGACATTCGATATCTCTTCCTAAGCTTAACAAGATTTACTCAGGTCATTTTTATGTCTAATGTCGGAGTCGAGCTCTTATCTGGTGTAATACTAGTTTCCCTGCTTTACCGAGTATTGTTAAAACAGTACCTCTAGCTTATCTGTTTGTGGAGCTGTTTAACTGCTTTGTTACAAGGACTGCATATACGGAACTTGCACCAACCAGGAGTGTTTGTCGCACAATCACATTGCCCATCGGCATCATCGGTTATTTGCTTGGAACGAAGCGTCTGCCCACCCGTTCGGTTCGCTCTTGACGGGCAGCAGCGGCAGATGTTGCCAGAAAATATAGGCGCCCAGTGACCACCGCAGTCGGCGCGCCCGCAAACACCAGTAAACAGCAAAGTGTCAAAAGGTACTTGAACACAACCTAAATTTCAACCGCCGCTTAGATCCGTGACCCCTGTTGACTTTTCTGAGACTACGGCACCACGTCTCCGTAAGTATGTGGCGCTGACCGAATGAGTGCATTGGGCTTGAAGTCAACAGAAAAGAAACAAGTAACCATTAGGCAGATCAGAGTGGTGTAAAGTCAGCGAGGTCGCCATCCTGTTATGATCTGTTTAATTTACTGTTACCGCTCAAATGTGTGAAATGCCACTGTGGAATGAAAAGGTGAATGGGACCGACAGCTCCCGGCAGTGGTGCACAATGTGTTGAGATATTGACTTTCAGGTCAATCTAGTTAGTGATCGACAATAATCTTTGCGATCCAAATTTCACTCGGAGACTTAGAAGCAGCAGTGTGTGATGATAGCCGTTTTCACGGTGGATTAATGCAGGAAAAGCTTTTAAAGGTCTAAATATGTTTGTTTTTCTGGAGTTGTATGTGCTAAACGCTCCGCCAAGGAAGCCATTGCTTTTATGCAGTTCGATTAACATGCAGTACGCAAACACATGTGTGCAAATACGAGTAAGTTTGTTAAGCTAAACGAGAACCTTCACAGCCATTTTCTCCACCACAGGCCTTAAGTGCAGCCAAACTGTAGGGGAACACTAGGCCTGGCAATCAGCAGTATGCATCGGTGAAGGTTGATGGAAGCCGGCTGCTCCATTGTTTACATCGCTGCTGTGTGGAGCGAGGCGAGCTTTGAGGATCATTTCACTCAAGGACGACTCATCTGCGATCATATTAAGTCATGCAATCCCTGCAAGCTCTGTAAGTATTGTAAGCAAACTGTAAATACCGCAAGTGGGCTCCCTAAGTGCTGCATATTTAGTAAACGGAAGCTACAAGAATCAAGGATTTTGTTTTGTCGCCTCTGCGCCGGCGGTGCAGCCGAATATTTTTAATAAGCTTCGAAAAGTGTTGGTGGGAAGAGATCTGTCATCGAAGCTGTCCTTAAAAGCATAGTCTTGCTTATAGCCAGCTTCCTGTGGTTCTGTGAAATTGCGCATCTTTCCAGACATGTTCTTAAAAACCTGCGAGACTTTTTTGGCGGTAAATCGTCAAAAAAGGAGTGTGGCTAAAAAATCCGAAGTGTATTTAAAGTCATAAAAGCTTGAGACGTAATCCGTCGTGAAAACGGCTAATAATTCGATAAGCAGACAAATCACGCTACTAAATGAGATGCTCGTGGAGGGAATCTCTCTTTTCTCCCTCCCTCTCCGTCTGTCTGTCTGTCTGTCTGTCTGTCTGTCTGTCTGTCTGTCTGTCTGTCTGTCTGTCTGTCTGTCTGCTTCTCTCTCTCCCTCTCCTCTCTCTCTCATCTCTCTCTCTCTCTCTCTCTCTCTCTCATCTCTCTCTCCTCTCTCTCTCTCTCTCCGTCCTCTGTCTCTGTCTCTGTCTCTGTCTCTGTCTCTGTCTCTGTCCTCGCTCTCGCTCTGATTTGTAGACATTTATTTGACGACGCTGAAACATGGGCAAATCACCTGACTAAACCAGTTTGTTCTGTTGACTTGCCCTGAGAAGAATACCAGACTGCCAGGTTCGCCCGCACGGCGCTGCATTGTCTTCGTTGCGCTCGACTGCGTAACGCCACATCAAAAGTTCGCAATGGAGCCCCGACACATGCGGCGCGTGGCCGACCTGTTTACCAGTCGTCGTTGCGTGGTGAAGCTGTTTACCAGTCGTCGTGTCCAAACCTCCGTTCCGGGGATAAGTCGAGATTTGTCCGATAGGAAGTTAAGCTACCGGCCGTGGTTCCTCCCGGCAGCCGTCTACCACCCGCGGTGTCCAATTTGGAGGCGTCGAAGCGCAAACGACCTAAACTCGTGGAAGGCGTCACTGGCTTAAAAGCAAGTGCAGGTCTATTCGAAAGAAATTGGACGGAAACTTTAACAGCGTCGCCTCTGGACGCTTTCAAGCTTTTTGTGCACGCCCATCCATATTCGTTCCTTTCGTTCTCAATACTGTTGGACGCCGCGACTGGTGCCATTGCTGCCATGACAAAAAGCCCGGCGATGGTTTTGCACGGCCTTTTAAATTTTGTAAAAAGGAAACCGTTAATGGAGGCTATGTGGGCGGCTGACGAGCTGGAAGCCAGAGGTTTAAGCAGATGGATTCAATTATATCATATTGTGAGCGCGCTTTTATCGACTCATGGCGGCCCGAGGCTGGCGGTCGAGCGAGCTGGCAGCGTGTCGTCATGACCATGAACAGACCGGGACGTGTGCGGGATGGCATGCTGGATCTGGTGACGTCAGTGGTGTGATGTTATCGGGCCAAATATGTGGTGAGCTGACGATAGCGCGGTCCGTGTCCAGTGACCGCACGGTACGGGCATTGTGACTCACGTCGATCATGCGGAGGCTACGACACATGACCATCTGGTTGTTTACTGTGGAGCAGCAAACCAAACAAGATACCATGGTCGTAAAGTTGTTTGAAAATCGAGCTTGGAGCTGCTGTGCTAGCCGAAAAGGTTTCGACGCGCCTCTGGTGGATCCGTGCGAACGTGCGGTTTATGCCATAATCTTCCCTGATTCTAAGCATTCAGAGTTGCTACCACAATGTAACGCCGTAAATGTGTGCCGGTTCGTCGCTTCAGTCGAGAATTAAGTTGCCGTGAGTTTATTTGTGATGTTATGTTTTGAGTACGGTCGTGTTTCCATATCAACTTTCAACCGCCCGTGTGTAACGACTGTCGCCTCGCTTCAGAATCCGATCTCTCAATTTTGTGCGACAACCTGCTTGTGCCGCGTGGGCTTTCGTCGCCGAATGCTCACACGTCCCAGACATGTGCACACGATTGACACCAGCTCTGGTGTGAGCCGTGGCATGCCGGTGCGTGGTGGCGGCGGCGGCGGCGTACGCGGGTTCGGCGCCGGCCGCCGGCCGCGCCCCCTGCCTGGCCGGCCGGCCGGCCGCGCGGCTCCGTCGCCAGGCCGCTCAGTCGGCGTGCGAACGCCGTGTCGGAAGGACTGTCGAGGGGCACGGCTGGTACCGCACGCTCACGCTCCGCCCTCGTGTGCCGCAGGCAGTGCAGAGTGACCGCCGGCTGTCGGCGACATGGCGCCCTCGTCTGGCGCCCGGCGGCGGCGCCTCCGGCTGGCGCCCCTGCTGCTGCCGGCCGCCCTGTGTCTGCTGACGTCCGGTCTGGCCGCCGCCGCCAGCGGCAGGCCGGAGCCACGGTTCAGCTTTACCAGCGCCCTCTACAACGCCTCCATCTACGAGAACAACGTGGGCAAGGAGTACGTGGTGAGCGCCGGCCCGATGGGTGTCCGGCTGCGGCCCGAGCTGGCCGGCGCCGACATCCGCTACAAGATCGTCGGCGGCGACCCGGACGGCTTCTTCAAGGCGCAGCAGCAGACGGTCGGTGACTTCTGCTTCCTGCGCGTGCGCACACGCACCGGGCACGCGGACGTGCTGAACCGCGAGCGGCAGGCCGAGTTTCGCCTGAAGGTGCGCGCGGTGGAGCGCGGCCGACGCCGCTACGGCCGGTCGCCGGCCTTCGCCGAGGTGCGCGTGCGCGTGCTGGACAGGAACGACCTGAACCCGTGGTTCGACGCGGCCGAGTACGACGTGGAGGTGGCCGAGGACCTGCCGGTGCACGGCCTGGTGACGCAGCTGCATGCCGACGACGCCGACGAGGGCATCAACGGCCAGGTGTACTACAGCCTGCTGGAGTCGGAGCCGCACTTCGCCATCGAGCCCAGCTCTGGCCGCGTGACGCTGGCGCGCCGGCTCAGCCACCGGCAGCGGCCCGAGTTCCAGCTGACGGCCGTGGCTCGTGACCGCGGCCTCAACGACATGGACGTGCCGGGCCTGGCACGGCTGCGCGTGCGCGTGCGGCCCGTCAACCTGTTTGACCCGGTGATGCACGTGACGCACCTGGCCGAGGTGGTTGAACACTCCAGCATGGACGTATACGCCATCGTGCACGTCATCGACCGCGACGAGGGCGTGCACGGCCAGGTGGCGGGCGTGCGCATCGTGGACGGCGACCCGGAGCGGCGGTTCCGCGTGCTGTCCGGCACGACCGCCGGCGAGTTCCTGGTGGGCGTGGCCGACCCGCTGGACCGCGAGAGCGCGCCCTACGGCTTCAACCTGACGCTGAACGCCACCGACCGCGGTACGCCACCGCGCTCTTCATTCCTGTCGGTGCGCGTGCGCGTGATGGACTTCAACGACCACGCGCCGGCGTTCACGCGCGAGGTGTACGACGTGACGGTGCGCGAGACGGCGCTGGCGCACACGGCCCTGGTGCGGCTGCGCGCCAGCGACTCTGACCATGGCGTCAACGCCCAGGTGCGCTACGCCATAGCGGCCGGCAACGAGGGCGGCGAGTTCGCCATCAACGCCGCCACCGGCCTGCTGTGGCTGGCGCGGCCGCTGGACGCCGAGACGAAGGCGTTCTACGCGCTGACGGTGTCGGCGCTGGACCAAGGCCACGGCGGCCGGCAGCGCCAGGGCTCAGCCCGTGTCACCGTCACCGTGCTCGACGAGAACGACAACGCGCCGCGCTTCGGCACGCCCAACACGCAGGCAGCCGTGGACGAGAACGAGCCGGCCGAGCACTACGTGACGCGCGTGACGGCCGAGGACGCCGACCAGAGCGAGAACGCCTTCCTCTCGTACTCGATCGCCAACACGGAGCCGGTGCCGTTCGTCATCAACCACTTTGACGGCACCATCACCACTTCGGAGATGCTCGACTACGAGACGCAGCGGCGCCAGTACGTGCTGCGCGTGCGCGTCTCCGATTGGGGCAAGCCGTACCGCTGGCAGACGGAGACGACGGTGACGGTGCGCCTGCGCAACGTCAACGACAACCGGCCGCAGTTCGAAAAGGTCGACTGCCACGGCCGGCTGTCGCGGCGCGCCGCCGTCGGCACCGAGATCATGGTGCTGTCAGCCATCGACTTCGACGAGGGCGCCGTGGTCAGCTACCGGCTGGTGTCGGGCAACGAGGACGGCTGCTTCCGGCTGGACGAGCGGCTGGGCTCGCTGCGGGTCAACTGCGACCTGGCTGACCTGGCCAGCGACGAGCGGCGGCTAGGCGTGATGGCCAACGACGGCCAGCACTTCTCGGACGAGACGCGGTTGCGGCTGCAGCTGGTGGGCAGCGGCGAGCGGCCGCTCGGCGGCGCCAGCGTGCGGCTTGAGTGCAAGGACACGGGCGTGGCCGGCCGCTACCGCCGGCTGCTGGCCACGGCCGAGCAGAACAACCGGCCGCGCGACCCGTTCACGGTGGTGTCGTCCAGCCGGTACGGCACCAACTACCACCGACCGCAGCTGTCTGCCGAGCCGGCCGGCGAGCTGGAGGTGAGCGAGGCGGCGCCGCTCGGCGCCCACCTCACCACCGTCATCGGCCACGACAAGGACCTCGGCTTCAACGGCCTGCTGGTGTTCGCCATCGCCGACGGCGACGACGACTCGGCGTTCAGCATCGACATGGACGGCGGTAACGTAAGCGTGGCCTGCCGGCTGGACCGCGAGCGCACCGCCCTCTACCGGCTGAACGTGACGGCGTGCGACCGCGGCCGGCCGCAGCTCTGCGCCAGCCTCATGCTCGTCGTGCACGTGCTGGATGTTAACGACAACGCGCCGCGCCTTGAGCGCTCGTCGTTCACGTTCTTCTACCCGGAGACGCGGCCGGCCGGCCAGCCGGTGGTGCGCCTGAACGCCTCGGACCCGGACGAGGGAGCCAACGGGCGCGTCTCGTTCAAGCTGTTGACGGACACGGCCGACTTCGCCGTGGACCAGCACACCGGCCTGGTGAGCCAGGTGCGTGCGCTGGACCGCGAGCGCCAGAGCAGCTACCGGCTGCGCGTGGCCGCCCGCGACGGCTCGGCCTCGCGGCCACTCGTCTCGCACGCCGTCGTGCACGTGGACGTGCTGGACGTGAACGACAACGCGCCGCGCTTCTCGCGGCCGCTGTACCAGGTGCGCGCCAGCGAGGACCTGCCGGTGGGCGCCGTGCTGGTGACGCTGGACGCCGTGGACCCGGACCGGCCGGGCGCTGCCGAGCCCGTCTCGTACCAGGTGACGGCCGGCGGCCACGGCCGGTTCGGTGTGGACCGCAGGTCTGGTGCCGTCCGCCTGCTGGAGCCGCTCGACTTCGAGCAGCGCCAGATCTACAACGTGACGGTGGAGGCGCGCGACGACGGCTCGCCGCCGCTATCGGCTGTCGCCTACCTGGTCGTCCAGGTGGTGGATGTCAACGAGAACTACTTTGCGCCGTCGTTCGGCGGCGCCGTGGCGGTGCGCGGCTCTGTGCTGGAGGGCCGGCCGTCGGGCACGTTCGTGCTGGCCGTGCGCGCCACCGACGCCGACCCGGCCGGCCCCAACTCCGACCTGACCTACTCGATCCGCGGCGGCAGCGGCGTCGGACACTTCTCCATCAACGAAACAGGTGAGCGGCGGGCAGCAATGGACACTGCTCTGTGGGCGAAGCATGCCCTGTGTTGGTAAGCAGATCATAGCGGTTCATGGATTATCACTGGCTTCCACTAAGATATGCCAGCGATTGAACGGAGACAAACACCGCAACGGGAAGTGAATTGAAAAGGGAGGCGGTTGAATGGGTTTTCATCAATACCATGACAGATGAATCTGACCAGATTCTTGCTTGGCTCCGGTGTAGTCCATAAATGATGCCGGCTATGTTCTCAGTCATACAGCTCACATGTGTACCGAACGACGTAGTGCCATGCCGCTCTTATCGAAATAAAGGTCCCAATAGGCGTCAGTGAAACCCATAAAACGTGCTATCTTCCAAACTGTCTTAACGGGAGTTGACTCCATCGGGTCTATTCCTAACTCGGCCCGTATTTTGGTGATTTAGATTCGGTGTGGGCTGGAACTTATTGTTCGCAGCCAGAGTCAGAGCTGGAAGGAACGCGCGAGTTGGCGCCCGAATCCACGCTGCTTCTCCTCAATCCTCACGACTTGACGGTCATTGGATACAAGAGATAACTAGATACCCTTTAAACATCCACCATGGAGCGACGCGGAGAGGGGGGGGGATTGAGTCCGCACTGGCCGACCTCTGAACCTGGTCAGAGGTCGGCCCGGTCAGCGCCGGCGGCTCTGATGGACGGCTGAAATGCGGCCTCAGGCGGCGTGCCGCCGTGAAACGCTACACCTCGTTGTGTTTTTGCCACCTAACTAATCCCCTGTGTCAGCGAATGCGCGGCCCTGCGCAAAAACCCAGCGGGCCTTCGAGTCCGTGTTGCGGCGAATGGCCGCGGGCGGTTTTTCGCTTTCGCAGTGCGTTCTTGCTTCTGTTCTGAACAGCGTTGCCATTTCTTGGTGCAAGCATGACAGGTCTGAATTCCTGCTAAGAATTTGTGTTTGACCGACGCTTCGTATTTTTCAAGGCCGGCTTTTCCAGCTTAGGAACATATCATGTGTCTCTTTTTCTGTTAACTTCGCTTGCGTCGGTGCAGACCTGTGCTTATGTTGCCATCTGTGCAGCACCGCCTTTGAAACGAGTGGGCTGCCTCTGCACCATTCCCTTGGTCTTTTTTTCTGATCGTGATTGTGTCGCAGGTCGTGGCAGGGGGCGTGTCGATCGTCCACACTAGCTGTTCATAACCCCGTTTGGCAGTGCGCTCGCCATGTGGGGGGTTCCGCGCCTATGCCTCTGTCGCGTCCTGCCGTGAAGCGGCGTTCACTGGCGACCGGTGTGCGGCGCGGCTGCCGCCGGCCGCCGTCGGACCCGAGTGTCAACTGCTACGGCCGGATATGGCCGCTCGTCCCGGGTTCGTCCACACAATATCGCGCCGTCGGCGGCCGCAGCTCACGGCCGGCTGCGGCACGCGGGAGGGCCGTTAGGCAGTCACGCCCAGAAGTGAGCGTGAGGCTGTACAGTTCAAAGCCGTTGGAAAGTTGTCGCCTATAAAATTCAGCATTTCTAACGAAGCATCGGAGCCAGTGATGTTAGATATGTTGATTGCCTTTCACAGAAGGGGGTTCACAGAAGAGTGACACGTAAAGACTTCTGTCTTCTGTCACCTTTCGGATTCAGCGATGTCATAATTGCGCCGAAGTCAAAGCAAACATGGAAAAAGGGAATGCTGAATACGTAACGGAAAACATTTACCCGGCTTTTTATTTTGCGTCTCACAAGATCGGTGCTACGGCTTCTGTATTACCTCGTGCCTTCTCCGTGCCTCCCTCCATTTCTGTCCCACGGACAAACGACTCCTCTCTTCTGTCTCTGTTCCACCGACAACCGGCTCCTCTCTCCCATCTTTGTCCCACCGACAACCGGCTCCTATTTCACCGACAACCGACTCTTCTCTCCCGTCTCTGTTCCTTGGACAACCGAGTGCCGCCGCTCACAAAAAAATCACCAGGCGGCAGAGCCGTTCTGGAGTTGCCAACGAATGGTCGTCAGACATCCGCGCTCCAGAGAAGTGACATCCGGTGCCGTGACTGGTCATTTCTCTGGCAGATGACCTGCCGTGACCTGGCCGAGCGGCGTCGATGCCGCTCCGGTCCTCTGACCCGGCGGACGCAGGGTGCCGGGCCGAGACCGACGCCGAGGCCACGCCGCTTGCGCGTCATCTCCCGGTCCCGTGGTCACATAGATCGGTCAATTGTCGGCACGTTTGGAGGCTGTACTGGGCGCCAGGAGATGTCAGCAGGCCTAATGTTTGCAGTCATGGATGTCACTAGCTGATATTAGCAGTTGCCCTCTTGCCTTTCTGGTGACCGTAAGCTGCGTCTCTCCGATGCATTCCCATTCGACAGTCCTTGGCCGTGTTGTGGAGTGGGCCCTGTTTTAGGCGTAAATTTACCCACACAGTTGAATCTTCATCACGTCAGGGATCGTTTTCAGTCGAAGATATTGTCGAATGGCGCCACCTCTTGCTGACCTGACCTGTCGTCACGTCGCCATTAATTACCGGGTGGGACACATCCGGGCCCCTCAAAGATGTGCGTATTGTCAGAGCGACTCGCGTATCTGCATAGGCTTGTGCTCATTGTGGATGAGGGCTGTGCGATCTCTGAGGAGGAGAGCTTTGTGGCAATTGCGCAGGCGTGTTTTGCCTCGTTTAGCGGGCGTTATCCACACGGCTTATGCACCTGAGGGTCATCAACGAAACCATTTTAAGTGGCCTCTGGGTGCGCCCCACGCACCGTACCTGTTCTGACTCCCTTTGCGACATTTGAGTAAATATTGCCGGTCTATCGGCCGTTTCTCTGACGTCTTCGGCCGCGACTCGCGTCGCGTCCGTGCGCCATCGCCCTTCTACCCGATCGGACCGCGGTAACAGCGTCCGGTCCGCCCGGGCCGGTAACAAGACGTCTGCCGTGGCCGCCGGTGCCGGCGCGCCCTGCGTGGTGCCGGCGCCGGCGGGGAGGGCCGCCGCGCGGCGCCGGGCCCGGCGGTGACTCAGCAGCTGAGTGGCTGACTGGCCTGACGGCACCGGACCGGCACCGCCGCTGCCGGCTGGCGCCTCGCGCCTCTGTCCAAGCTAATGGACGGCCACTTTGCGCGCGACGGCGGCATTCATTGCAAGCGTCCTGTTCACTTGGCGCGCTTTTTCCCGTGCCGTGACACGTGCTGGCGGACGCCTCTTCGATCCCCGCTCGCTACCGCTGGCGCGCTTTTTGGCCCGCGAGGCGCGGGCGCCCATCCAGCGGCATAAGTTATTCAGAGCTGTTGTGCGCTGGGGGGCTCGGCGCGCGCGGATGCACCGGGCGAGTTCACGTGTGAGCTGCATCTCGTGCTAATGATGGAGCAAGCGTGGGGCTCGGACTCTAAGCCGTACAGCTCATTTCCCAGAAGAAGTGTCCCGAGGGCGGGCAGCGCTGTTTCTAAGTGTCATCGACACGGCCGCTTCAAAGCTGCACCGGCGAAGCGGAGAGAGCCGGCTGAGACATGCTAGCCGGTGGCCAGGCCGCACGCGTCTGCCGCTTGTCTCCGCTCCAGCGAAGGGCCGGGCGCGGGGGTTGGAGCTGCCGTCTCGGTGGGTGGGGCACGGCCGTTCCTCTGAGCGGTGGTGGTGGCCTAGCCAGTGCGGTGAGGGAGCGTGTGCGGGCCGGCGTGGCCGGCGCGGCCGGCGCGCCGCGGTGACTGGGCGGATCCCGGCGTCTGCACGCGGCCGCTGATGGATCGGGCACGCGTGCGCCGCTGCTGCTGCAGGCGGCCTGGGAGGGCCGCCCGACCGGTGGCGGCCGCGGCAGGGCGGCCCAGCTGGTCCAGCCGTAACGCCGGCCATTGCCGCACATATCGCGTGTTGGAGATTGCGCCCCGTTTTGTGGTGTTGCATTGGAGCCGTTGCCGGTGTTGTGTTGTTGAGGCTAGACAATGTAGTAACGTGCGATGTTGCGTTGTAGGCCGAAGCTGGGCGCATGTGTTGCTGGTGTTAGAGTTGAACATGAAGATGGTGCCGCAGACTAGAGGCTACGACCCGCGTGCAACAGCACGCTGAGCGATCGCAGCGGCGTTTTAGAGGCCTGGGCCGATATCGTGATAAGCCATGGGAGGCCGGAAGTCTTGACAAATGATCGCATGATTGTGAGGCCCCTTTGCGCGCATTGGCCAGTGACTGGGCTCGTAAAATGCGGTTTGTTGACGTTTGGGTGCGGCATGTGTTGATAGTGGCTGAGTCCGGCGAAGGACGCTGCTCCGCTGCACCGGAAAACAGCAGCGTCACGTCTGTTTCTCTCCCGACAGGCATCTACACGAGGGACGTGCTGGACCGGGAGACCCAGTCCAGCTACTGGCTGACCGTGTACGCCAAGGACTCCGGCGCCGTCCCGCTGTCGGCGCGACTGGAGGTGCGTGGACCGTCTGACCTCACGTGCCGTCTGCTCTTACGGACGGCTGCCATTGGGCTTCTGAGGCGGGGGCTGCTCCGCCCGCAGTATCTGTACGGTACTGTAGTGTGTAATGACGTCAAAACCAGCCCATTACCCTGCGGGACTGACATTGTCCCCAGCACCCATCAGAGCCCACGCAATCTCCGACTGGAGATGCGTGGACCGTCCAACCTCATGTGCCGAGTGCTCTTGTGAACGGCTGCCATGGGGCCTCTGAAACAGGGATTGCTCCGCCCGCAGTATCTGTGCGGCACTGTAGTGTGTAATGACGGAAAAACCAGCCCATTACCCTGCGGAGCCCGCATTGTCCCCAGCACCCATCAGAGCCCACGCAATCTCCGTTGTTATCAGCTTGGTGGTTGGTTTAACCGTCTACCTTTGGCCTCTGCCGTCGGCGGTGGCCGGCCGGCGGGCTATTTAACGCGTGAACGCAGTTGGTGGAGATTATAATGGCCGGGTGCGGGTCCGCGTTATGAGAAAAGTTTGTAATGGCGGCCCAGCTCGGGTCGGCGGTCTCCGTGGCTGGGATCTTGTCAACTCCGGCTCCGTTTGACACGGCTGCTCATGACACGGCTGCTCGTACGGGACAGGTCTGCACAGAGGTCAAACGGTGGAAAAGCCCAGCTGGAGCTATAAGCGGCTGCTGTTTTGTGTGCGTGCTTGTCTATCATGGAGGCGCGGTAGAGTTTGGACTGCCTGCCCTGCCAGCGCAAGTCCCATGTCTGCATATGAGTGCACATAGTGGAATGGACTGACAGCTACCTGCCGGCACAAGTGTTCTGTGTTTGTGCAGGTCTACATAGAGGTTGGGGACGGGAACGACAGCTACCTGCTGGCACAAGTGTTTTGTGTTTGTGCATGTCTACATAGAGGTTGAGGGTGAGAACGACAGCTACCTGCTGACTCGAGTGTTTTGTGTTCGTGCAGTTCTATAAAGAGGTTGAGGACGAGAACGACAGCTACCTGCTGGCAGAAGTGTTTTGTATTTGTGCAGGTCTACACGGAGGTTGAGGACGAGAACGACAACTACCTGCTGGCACAAGTGTTCCGTGTTTGTGCAGGTGTGCATAGAGGCTGAGGACGAGAACGACAGCTACCATCTGACTCGAGTGTTCTGTGTTTGTTCAGGTCTACATAGAGGTGGAGGACGAGAACGACAACTACCCGCTGACGTCTGAGCCGGTGTACCGGGCCGAGGTGTTGGAGAACTCCGCCCCGGGCACGCGGGTCACCAGGGTCACGGCCTCAGACCGGGACGGGGCCGGCCCACTGCGCTACCGCATAGCCGGCGGTAACCCGCAGAGTCTCTTCAGCATGGACCCGGACACAGGTGAGCACACTGTAGCCGGACCCGGGCACAGGTGAGCACACTGAAGCCCGACCCGGACACAGGTGAGCACACCGCGGCTGGGCCAGGACACAGCTGAGCATACTGAGCCGGACCCTGGCACAGGTGAGCATGCTGCAGCCGGACCCGGACACAGGTGAGCACACTTTAGCTGGGCCAGTACACAGGTGAGCACACCGCAGCTGGACTCTCGTGCAAGTTGAGACGGTGCCACTACAGTGGGCCTGAACGCAAGTGGGTGGTCTACACTGAACCCAGATTCAGCTGAGGGCGCTTCTTGAAGTCTGACGGGGTGGGAACACTACCAGGCTCCGAGAAACGGGAATATTCCAGACAGAAAGCACGTACAGGATTCGTCTGGTTGGGTGTGGGTTGGTTCAGCTCTGTTCTATTTTGGCCAGTAATGACCATTCAGGGCTATGAGATTAAGGAGAGCGGTAAGTGATGGTACAATACCGCGACTGCCGTGGGAGTCCTTCGCCAGCTGGCGTCCTCCGCGCAGGAACCCTGCTCTGGTCTTGTTGACGGTCGGGCTCCCGACGGGTCGTCTGTGGGGCCGGTGCTCGATCATATGATTCATGAAGAGCAAGCAATGGGTATTTTTGCAAGCTTGTTTGTGAAAGTGGTGCTGGACGGAGAGTGCCCCGTATACTGGAAGGCACGCTAAAACGAATCATAGCACTGGGAACAAAGCCGAAAACAGCCCTGCCAGAATCGGCTTCAGTCTATTGAATTGGATAAAACGGATCATGAAGGGCCTATTGTGAAAGGCGGCAGTCGAATCGCGCTGGAAATTCCAGTTGAGCTCATACCATCGGCAGCTCGTTGACCGTTACTCGTGCGATGCTGGCGGGCATGCCTGGGCGTTTGAAAGGCGATTGTTGCGACTTTTTCTTGAGCGTTGTGCACAGCGCTATTGAAAGGCTGCTCGTCATGTTCGCTTATGCACGTTGAGCCGAGCAGACCGGGGGCAGATAACACGGCACGCGGTGGATGTGAGGGAGGCCGCCTCACGCGGCAGGCCTACCCACTGCGTGCACGTCGCATTCTGTGGGGGCTCATACGTGCTGGGCGGGGTTGACAGCTGGATTGTTGCATGCGTTGACAGATTGGGACGGACGAGGTTCGAGGCCGATCTGCACCTCAGGGTCCCGCCTGTCACAGCGTCGAAGTCCAGCGGCCGTATCTGCTGCAGCTGGCGCGAATCGTGCGTCTGTGCCGGCGGCTGGCGCGGCGCTGTTCTGTCTCCCCGAGCGCCGGTCGCCTGAGCGCGGACGGTCTGACCCGCGCCCCCCCCCTGCCCCCAGGCGTGATCACCACCACCGAGCGCGTGCTGGACCGTGAGACCCGCGACGCCTTCACGCTCGAGGTGGGTGCGGCCCGCCTGCTTCGCTGCAGTGACGGGGCGAGTGGTGGTCAGAGCGAGGCGTACGGTTTTCAGAGCGAGGCGTGCGGCGTCCAGAGCGAGATGTGCGGTGTCCAGAGCAAGGCGTGTGGTGTTTAGAGCGAGGCATGTGGTGTCCAGAGCGAGTCGTGTTGTACCCAGAGCGAGATGTGCGGTGTCCAGAGCAAGGTGTGTAGTGCCCAGAGCGAGGCGTGTGGTATTCAGAGCGAAGTGTGTGGTGTCCAGAGCGAGGCGTGTAGTGTCCAGAGCGTGCTTACAGTGTCCAGGACGAGATGTGCGGTGTCCAGAGCAAGGCGTGTGGTGTCCAGAGCGAGGAATGCGGTGTTCAGAGCGAGGTGTGTCATGTTCAGAGCGAGGTATGTGGTGTCGAGAGCGAGGCGTGAGGTGCCCGGAGCGAAGGGTGTAGTGTCCAGAGCGAGGCTTGCGGTGTCCAAAGCGTACACCCCCCGGCGCGAGGCCGCTTTGGCCCGCCTGGCTGGTAGGCCAGCCACGTGTGGACACTGGCCGCCCACCCACCCTCGGCTTGAACCTCGGCGCGCACAGGCCATGTAGTGAATTAAACCCCGGCGGCGACGCGGGTCTGCCGGGCCGATCGGTGGATCCGGTCCCGGCCGGACGCGCGCCGCTCCCCGGCCTCGGTCACGAATTGCTCGGCGCCTCATCGGCCGATCGTCGTTGGCCGGGAGCGGTCGGCGCGCGGCAGTAAGCCGCTGTTGACTCGGTGACGTCAACGGTTGGGGCGCCGGCGTCGGCCAGCGCGGCGCCGCTGACCGTGACCCCGGCCGGCGGCGTCCCCGGGCTGGAGGCGAGAGGCGCGGCCGGACTCTGCGCCCGGCCCCGGCCCCGGCCCTGTCCCCGGCTGCGGTCTGCTCCGCTCCCACGGAGCTATCGCGCTGGCGGGCTGCTGCGTCAGGCTCGGACAGGTCCGGCTGTGCAGCCCTGACCTGGAGACGCCGGCTCGGGAGCGCCATTCAACGGTGGCCGTCAGCAGGGGGCTCAGCTGCGCGGAAGAGCTGGGCGGTCGGGTGACTGTAGCTCGCTGATGGTAGATGAGGGCAGGTCTAACCCACAGACAGGTACGCGGACATGGGCGGCACTTTGTCATGGTTCACAGGGATGCAAACCAACCCGTGAAATGGGATGACGGGGAAGGGCAGTGTCAACATGCGGCTGCAACGAAAATGTCTGTTGGCAGCTTCTGCTTTGTTCTGGTGGACCAAACGGCTCGATACCGTTACGGATTTGCGTGCGATAGCCAGTTTTGGCAGGACTGGTCTGCCTGGGCTTCACGTATGGGCAGTGCGCGGCCGCGGAGGCCGGAGCTCGAGCCGAGTCGTGATCGTCCCGAGACTACTCCCGGGCGATGGAACCTGTGCGGCGGCGAGAGATTGCCAGGTCGGTGCGGCGGCTCGTGGCTGAGGCAGGCGCCGCCCCAGGTCGATGCGGCGGCCCGTGGCTGAGGCAGGTGCCGCCGCAGGCCGGTGCGACGGCTTGTGGCTGAGGCAGGTGCCGCCCCAGGCCGGTGCGGCGGCTCGTGGCTGAGGCAGGTGCCGCCGCAGGCCGGTGCGACGGCTTGTGGCTGAGGCAGGCGCCGCACCAGGTCGGTGCGGCGGCTCGTGGATGAGACAGGTGCCGCCCCAGGCCGGTGCGGCGGCTTGTGGCAGAGGCAGGTGCCGCACCAGGTCGGTGCGGCGGCTCGTGGATGAGACAGGTGCCGCCCCAGGCCGGTGCGGCGGCTTGTGGCAGAGGTAGGTGCCGCCCCAGGCCGGTGCGGCGGCTCATGGCTGAGACAGGTGCCGCCCCAGGGCGGTGCGGCGGCCCGCACACCGGCGACGCACCGCTGCCGGCGCCGCCCAATCAGGCTCCGTTGCATGGCCGCCGCCACCGTTTTCGGCTCAATGGGCCGCGAAATGGGGAAGGCCCGCCCCAATAGAGCCGCGGTCGACCGTCTGCCGGCACCGGATGATCACCGGGTGGCGGCTGATGGTGGCGACGCGGTCAGGGGGGCCGGCGGGGCTCGACGGATCGGCGTCATTTATTTGTGATGATTGGATTCACTAGAAGGTAGTCTCTATTTTTTGTGATTTTATTGATATAATCGCGTTTTTGTGGACTATTGAATCGTCTGATCTGGTGACTTTTTCGCTTAATTTTCAGCAATCGAATGCTCGATTATCGTGGCATGTTTATGAGGCCGACTCAGGTTTTTGTTACCTTCGGAATGCGAGCTGATCAAGAAGGCACTAGCCCACGGCAAAACCAATACATATATTTTGTTTTTCTACAGTATTTTAGCTTCCGCAGAAAAAGTAACTGATGCCATTTTTATATCATACTAATGCATAAACTGCAGTAGGACAAGTGAACGATTCTATGAAAAAAGCTCATTGGCTCAGTTAATACTATAGAGCGATTTGGTTTTACTATGCCAGTGAAGGACTGCCAGCATGAGAGGCTCAGCTCAGGTCGTTGCCCAAACATTACTGGCGTGAGGGCTATGCCACCCGTCAACGGTGCAGCGGGCCGTCCGTGGTCGATACGACCGTCTCCAGCCGACCGGCAGGCCCTGTAGGGCGCACCGTCTCAGGCCCCGCCCGATGGCCACTACTGGGAAGCGCAACAGCCAGTCAGCTGACGCCGCCGGCCGACCGCGGCGGGCACCGCACCTCGCCCCCGATCAAGGCCGTTCACGTGCTGCCGGACCGAACATGTCATCGAGCGCGGCCGGCGCGTTTTATGGTGCCGTCGGTCCGGCCGGCTCGCCGTCCCGCGTGTGGACGGCTGTCAGGTGCGCTCCATCTGTGTCAGCCCGCTGTCTGGGCGCCTGGTGCTACGGGACAGGTTTATTTCGGCGCAGGGATTTACGGTGCTCGAGAAAGCTGTACACCACGCGGAATGTTTCTTTCGCTGTGACGATGGGTTTTTTCTCGACTGTTTGCGTCCGGCGTTGTGGTGGTTGCGTAATGCCCTCAGATTGGCCAGCTTGCTGGCTGTATTCCTACGGATAGAGGTCCTCTCCCAATTTGGCGATGCTGTTCGTACATGTTGTGGGTAACATGCCGGCTCGTTGTATGGCATGTTTGGAAATTTAAACACACCTATTCCCTTTCAACCCCGGGATCAAGCGTTTAAAAAAGCGGGTAGTTCGATGCTAATGGAATTGTGGGTACGATTTGCCCCTGTGAATCAGCCGGTGTGGTGGCTTCTGGCTGATCCCAAGCTTTGAAAGGAAACGTTTTACTTCTGCGTTGACAGCGCGGTGTAATGCTGCATCTGTTTCGCGCAGATAAGTCGGATATTAAGAGGGCTTGAGCCCGGATCTTCCACACTCTTAGTCAACGGGCTTAGATCGTCTAGTGATGTTGTACTTCGGAAAGTATCGCCGGGTTTTAATCAAATGACACGAAACGGCTATTTCATCAGGCTCAACGCGACGCATAGTTGGAATGGATGTAAAATTGACATGTTAACATCAGTAAAGTAGTTTTGGATCTTGCGGCCCGTCCGATGGAAGCTGTTAGAGTGACAATGGGTCAACTCCCAGATAAATGTGAAAGTCGAATGGGACGCAGGGAACTGTGACGCATTTCTCGCTCGCATTTCACTACGTTCCTGGCATACTGGCTCTGAATGACCAAACCTTGGCATACGCGTGCCACCTAGCGATTTGCTCCAACATTCAGAAAAAAATGTGCCACATTATGGCTGCTGTTGATCTGATCAGGACTGGTTTTCCTATTTTGTACGGTTTGTTCCTCAAGCGAGCTGACATGCCTTGGTTTGCTGGCGGCCGCAGCCCGTCTGTGATTTGATCGTGCCTGAACAGTGGACGCAGGGCAGACCGGCGAGACGTCGAACAGTGATGTATTCGCGGCCGGCTGCGTTATCTGATGTGACGGCGGCGACGGTGGCAGCAGCGGCGGCGGCGGCAGCGGCGTCGGCAGCGGCGGCGGCGGCGCGGTCCGACACTATCGGGGCCGGGCGCGGGCCCAGACGTCCCCGGCTGTCAGCAGCCGGACCGCGATGGCCTGGCCGCTGCTGCCGGGTCAGAGGCGAGCCTCCGCTCATGGGCTCGGGCGCCACACGCGCCGGGCTGGCGGTGGCGAAGCAGCAGGTGTCTGAGAGGTTGGGGTGCGGTTCGGGGGGGGGGGGGGCGTCATCATCGGACGCCCCGATGCCGTGGTCGGTACGCGCTGGAAAGCTGGACACGCTATCAGGCCATTTGTTCCGCGGTGCCGGTATTTAAATAAGATATCGGAAGACCGCTGCGAGATAAATGTTATGGGGGTGAGGCGGACCGTATCGCTCCACAGCTGGCCAGCTGCAGGGCGTGTGCAGGCAGGCCGGCAACGAGGGATGCTAGATCACGCCGATGCTATCCTGCGGTGTTGGGCGGGCGCTTGCATGGGCTGGCCGGCTGCAAACCCTCTCGCCACGGCAGCTCAAGTCATTAGCTGCGCTCATTCTGTGAGGCTTTGTTCGTCCTCTGTAGGCATTGCCACCGCCGCGGCGCCGGGTACATTCATTCCGCGGCGTCTCGCGGCCCATCCGACCGAAATGGTAAACGGATCCCAAACCAGTGGAGATGAATACGGACCATTCAGCGGAGCTCTCGGCCGTCCCCGGCCGAGGCGGCGCCCGCGCCGGCTAATGCACGACGGCTCGCCTTCATTTCGCCGGATCAGTTAGCGGTGGCCACGTATGTAAATCATGCGGGGTGAAAGTGTGGCGTGGAGGCTGCACCGGCTGCCGGCGCCGCACCGGCCACGGCTGCGGAGGTCCGGTCCCGTTCGCGCGGGGTCGTGTCGCGCGCACAGGGTCTGCATGTGGGCGGAGAGCCGCGTCGTCGGATGATGCATCACGTTGAACGCCGCGGCGCTGCCCCGCCAGCCGCGGGTGTGATGTGCTGGCGTCTGTCCTTCGTCTGGGCGCACGGCACGGCGGACTCCCATTGACGCATGTTTTGAAGGTGGGAAGGACATGTTTCGAAGGACAGGATCTCGACGCAGGCTAACGCGCGCGATCACAGCCGTCGTGTGTGAGCAGAGCTCCGGACCGCAGCGACCAGCCGCCGCCTGGACACGGCGCTTCCGCACCGCGCCGCGCGTCGGTCGGCGGCCGGTGCGAGCGCCGCCGTCTGCCGGCCGCCGGTGACCCGGAACCCAGCGGCGCCAGCTCATGAGCGCTGATGAAGCCGGTCACGCCAGCTGGCCGCGACGTGCCCTGGCGGCGACATTGCACCCGGGGCCGGCGGTCACGTGCGAGCGGCACATTAGAGGCGGACGGTGTCGGATCCGGGCTGGGCGCTGCTCCTCGTGACGTGTCTCGGTGACACGCTGGTGTGGGGCTGGTCCGGAGTGACACGCTGGTGCGGGGGCCGGTCCGGGGATGACACGCTGGTGCGGGGGCTGGTCCGGGGGTAACACGCTGGTGCGGGGGCTGGTCCGGGGATGACACGCTGGTGCGGGGGCTGGTCCGGGGGTGACACGCCGGTGCGGGGGCCGGTCCGCGGTGACATGCTGGTGCGGGGGCTGGTCCGGGGATGACACGCTGGTGCCGGGGCTGGTCCGGATGATACGCTGGTGCCGGGGCTGGCCCGGGGATGACACTAGTGCGGGGGCTGGTTCGGCGATGACACGCTGGCGCGGGGGCTGGTCTGGGACCGGAAGGCGTTAGTTGGAGCTCGCGCCACATCGGCGCTCAGCCACCCGGCGAGGCATGAGGCACCAGCCGGTGAATCGTCGCTGGTGAATCTGCCTCCTCGCTCCGGCCGGAATCCGGTGTCTTGAGTGCTGGTCTTGGCAGAGCAAAGAATATTTACTCGATATAATTGCGTCTCGGACATTTAAGCGTATCGAGATGTTGGAAGGATTCAGAGGGCATTTCCTGTATCGCATTGTATTCAAGCTCCCTATTAAACCAGGATGAGTTTCAAAACTTACTGAAATGCGCCCTGTACATGTCTTTTATTTCGCGGCACAGTTCCGTGTTCGCTTCTAGAACGCTCATTTTTTATAGATCAGGAATCTGTGAACCGTGAATAATATCCCGTGTCCATGGGCGGTTATGGTGTAATGTTTCCAATCATTTTTTTCAGACAGCTTTGAATACAGATAGTCCTTGTCGTGCTGCCATCCATTGTTCTCACCTTATCGTGTTTTATGAGTAATTACAACACTCATTTTGCTTGTTATTCACCGATATCTAGAGTTGCTTGCGTCATTTGCTCGGATACCAGTCCTTGTCTGATCGCGCGATAATGCATGGTGTTGTCCGTTTTTTTCGCTGAATTATATATTTGCTGGTATTTGCAGTGGCACATACAAGTAGAATACTCAACCTGCCCCGTATTATGGAAAGTTCTTCAAAACATGGGCGCGGAGTTTGGAGACGTCCACCACGATCCACTCTCCTCGCACATTCGTTTCGTTGCCTAGTCCGCCGGTCTCGGCGGCCGACGCCGCTGGCCGCTGTCGTGACCGAAACTACTGCGATGCTATCAGCTGATGAAGACGTGTCCTCTCCAGTTTTCGTGGAGGCGCGCGGTGAATAATGACGTTGTGATCCTTATAAGCTCTTTCTACGATGGGTGACCTAAGCCAACTGCCATGCTTTATGGTGGTAATTGCGACGGACGCTCCATTTTTCCTGTTGCGCACACTCATGAGGGATGAAGTCACCATTTCCCCACGGTTGGTGGTCGCCAGTCTGTGGTAATCACCACGATAACATGACGGGTGCTCGCTGTCTGGATCTTGTCCTACGTCATAACACATTGGATTTCGGTTGAAATGCGAGTATCCCCAAACACGTGACGCCTGTCTGATGCGGCTAATTATGGTGTGGTGCTGGGTGCACGGTGTCTGACTCAGTGACCAGCTGTGTGCATGTGAACGGTGCGTTTGTCACTCTTTAACAGTGTTCAGAACAGTCAGTCCGTTAGTTTATTTGAGCTTAACAGTGTTCGTCAGCTTAGACAGTATCGGACTGGCGAGTACCGGCGCTGACCTCCACGGCCCGGGTCACGTCCCCTCTGACACTGCCCTCTGGTCCGACAGGTGACGGTGTCGGACTGGGGAGTACCGGCCCTGACCTCCACGGCTCGGGTTATGACCCCTCTGACACTGTCCTCTGGTTCAACAGGTGACGGTGTCGGACTGGGGAGTACCGGCCCTGACCTCCACGGCTCGGGTCATGACCCCTCTGACACTGTCCTCTGGTTCGACAGGTGACGTTGTCGGACTGGGGAGTACCGGCCCTGACCTCCACGGCTCGGGTCATGACCCCTCTGACACTGTCCTCTGGTTCGACAGGTGACGGTGTCGGACTGGGGAGCACCGGCCCTGACCTCCACGGCCCAGGTCATGACCCCTCTGACACTGTCCTCTGGTCCGACAGGTAATGATGTTGACTGGGGACTACCGGCCCTGACCTCCACGGCCCAGGTCATGACCCCTCTGACACTGTCCTCTGGTCCGACAGGTGACGGTGTCGGACTGGGGAGCACCGGCCCTGACCTCCACGGCCCGGGTCATGGTCACCGTGCTAGACGAGAACGACTCACCGCCGGTGTTCTCTGAGCGGCTCTACCGGGTCCAGGTGCCGCTGGGACCGGCGCTCAGTCGACCCAACGCCTCCATCTTCCAGGTCAGGTCTCGCCCATTGATAGGTCAGGGGTGCCGCTGACGGGGGTGTGTGAGTGTGTAAGATGGGGGTGTGTGGTGTGTGAGTGTGTGAGACGCAGGCTTGGCACTCTACTGGCGGATCGCCGTTGCGATTTTACCGTATCAGTGAGCATTCAGTCATGGAGTGTATCCGGGGTACCGCTCATAACACTAGCGATTGCCGTAGGATCCGAATAACCCTGGACGTCACCTGACCCGGTGTTGCAATACCGCTGGGGTTTCGTGCGTGTTTCACTGTCGCTCTCTCCAGCGCAAGCCACTTGAGTAGGTTTGGTCTCTGAACCGTCGGAAAATGACTGCCAACGTGTCATGGTCAGGTTTTTGGGGCTGTGTCAGTCGCCACATGGGAATGTTTTCTCGCTGTGTGATGAAGCCCGCGCACTTTTAGGGGTTTCCAGTCAGACGTTATCCTCTCCAGTGTATTGCCGCTGGAGCTCAATTAATGTATTTTGTCGTGGCTTTAATGCCTCCCTTATTGATCGGTACAAAGTTGGTGCGGAGAAACTTAATCTAGTGCTGCTGCCTCTGGAGACTTTCTAGGACATATTAGCCGTTGTCACGATGGATTAATGCACTGAAAAGTTTTAAAAAGTTTTAAAATGTTTCGGTGAAGTTTTGGTATATACTTAACTCTCTGACGAGGAAATTGATTGAGAAGGACAAGGACTGTTTCATGCAGTTCCAGTAACGTGCAATAAGTAAACCACGTGTCTCCAACTAAGAATAAGGTTGCATATTAAACGAGGCTCTTTATAGACATTTGTTTCAGTCCATGTCTTTAGTTCACCCAAATTCTAGGAAAACACAAGGGTTGGCAAGGAGCAACGTGAAATCGGTCGGGGATGTTGGCTGCTGGCTTCCCCATTAATGTTTGCATCGGTGTTGTGTGGAGCAAGGCGGGGTCTGAGGATCATTTCATTCAAGGATCGTTCATCTTGGATCATGTTAAGGTATGCAAGCCCTGTAAGTTCTGCAAGTACTATAAGCAAGCTATGTAAGCACTGTAAGTAGCCTCTCATTACTGCATGTCTATGAACAGAGATGATGCGTTTTTTTCTGGGCCAACACAAGGACTCCTTTTTTCCCCTCAACGGACCTAGTCACTTGCGAGGGGGACAGTTACTTCCGGCTTAAGACCAGACAGGAATTACGTTAAACCTGCTTACGCTGTCGGGTGCAAAGCGAGGGAGAGGATATGTTGAAGTTACGTTTTGCTGATCTGGTTCATTGTTGTCCAGAAAGATCATAGCAAGCTGTAAGGGTTTGGTTTAACGCTTGGAAAAGTTTCAGTGGGAAGATATCTGACATTATAGTTGTCCATAAAAACATGATCTTACTCATAGCCTGCTAACGGCAGTTTTATCAAGTTATGTGTCTTTTCAAACAAGTTTGTACATTTCTGCGGAACATTTATTACCGAATATCGCATGTAAGAGGTGTGTAGTTAGCAAATAAACGCTGTTAAGATTTGGAAAAAGAAGTTTTTAAGGCTCTATATTGCAATGCTTCGTAAAGACGGCTATTGCAATACAATAGTCTTGGAACATGATGAATATGTAAGCTTCCGACTGGCTCTCTTTAAAGGCGAATTTAACCTGATGCGTTTTCTGCTTCCGCTGCATTTGGTTACAGTTTTAGGTACGATTTCGTGACTTCGGCATTTGCCGAGTTATTACGTAACGATTGCTATGGGCTATATCTCAAGTAGCTCCGTCACAGCTCATGTCATTGAATGTGAGCGTTTACAACTTTATTTCCAGTTACGAATGGAAAGTTTCAAAGGCTCGACGATGTCGCAGTACTCTTATTGCGGTGCTAAGTTGCTCCTTTTTGCCGCAGAGTCGCGCACAGTTTTCATTGGTACAAAAGCGTAGCGTCTGTAGCTGCTCTACATGCTCACTCTTCATTCTGGTGGTCTTAAGTTCGCTGATACAACGTAGACCTCCGTTGCGCTTCCTTGTAGCCGTAACATGCAGTTGATGGCAAGTCGCCCATGTCCCGATTTTTAAAGTGATAACAAACTTTTAAAGAAATGAATTTTGAACAGTATATCCAGCGTGAGTTTCTTTGCGTTGGAGTTGATTTTTGTATTTGGGTGCATCCGTTTTTCAATCGTGAAATTTCCTACAGCCTGCCCACTCAGGGGTATAATCGGTCAATTGTCTCCTTTTCGGCTAGAAACTCATTAGGCGTATATATGGCAACCGAACGGGAGTCGCACATTTCTCCGACTTTGTCAGTGTTATGCCATTCCGGACTGACTGGCGATATTTGTATCATTAGTACGTCCGATCGGTGAGACGATGCTGCTCGGTCCTCAGCCTTGTTTCTGCTATACTTGCTGCTTTACACAATCCAAGGCCAGGACTAGACACTGCAGATGACGCTAAAGGTGCGGTAAGACGTAAGACGGTAAATGTAAGGATCCAGTTTTTACTTTGTAAAATAGATTAGATTACTTTTCCCCATTCCCCGTTGATGAAGCATTTCCTGTTACCTGCTGCATTTTAGACTATTTGGGTGATATTGAATCATTTTACACCAAATGATTTTTTACTTTAATGTCGTTATTATCCTCAAAACACGCCGGAAATGAAGCTAAGCATCACATGGCTTATTTTGCATAATGTGTGCGTTTCCGGCCCTTGACCAAACGAAGCCCTTCATATTCCGCGTAAAGTCAGTCCTTCCTTCCGCCGTTTTACGGCCCGAGTTTTAGTGCGGCCGTTGCGTCACCCACTGCAAACAGACCCCCCCCCCCCCCCCCTCCTGGGGGCTCACTCGGCACGCGAAACGGTGCCAGCGTCAGCACGCAGCCGGAGGCCGGCGGCGTGGTGCAGAGAGCCGCTGTCGGTGACGAGCTGTCGCCGCGGTCCGCAGTCTTATCAGCGGGACACGCACAGCTTGCGGCACCCGGCCAGCACACACACACACACCCACGCACAGGTGGTGCGCGTGTGGAGCGCGCTCGGCTGGATCTGGGTCAGCGCTGCCGGCCGCGCGGGTGGTGTTACCGACATGCCCTCGTTTGCCGCGATGAATACCTGTCAGCGCTGTGTCTGGCGCCGGTCATGTTTCAATGTCCGTGTCGCAGAAACCGCTGGCAGGAATGATCCGGGGATCTGTCATTGCAACTCGGGCAAGTCATCACAGCCGCATGTACCTGTGGTCAAAATTGGTATTATTTTGTGACTGTCCTGGTACCCGTCCCTGATCAGCTGCTGTACTGTTCCCGTCCCTGGTCAGCTGCTGTCTTGTTATCCGTTCCTGGTCAACTGGTATCCTGTTGCCCGTCGCTGGTCAGCTGCTGACTGTCCTGTTGCATGCTCCCTCAACATGCCTTAGCAGCCTGCGGACGGCCAATATCCCGTCGCCCGTCATCCCGTCTCCATTGTCGCTGATTGGCTGCCGTGGCCGGCGTGATGTCACTGATCCGCAGCCGGCCGTCCGTCAACAAATGAGTACTGACGGCAATGGTTCTCGGCGGCGGCGGCCGCTGGCCGGCCGCCAGCACGTGCCTCCGCGGCCAGTGCGTGCGGAATATGACCTGCCGAGTTGGGGGGGGGGGGGGAGGGGGAGCTGCACCTGGGCGCGTTGGCACTGCCACGAGAGGAGTGACCTGAAATCCACCGACGGCAGTTATGAGAGGGGTGTCTGAAGGCGTGTGCTTAGCGAGTGGTGCCACAGAGCGGGGGTGGTGAAGCATGTCGAAAAGATGAAATGTGCGAGGAATACTAGAAATGATGGTGCAGTGTGGAAATGGAACATCAACAATTGTGTGTATGTTGATGGTGAAATTCCTGTACCGCGAGGATGGAACAATTATCTTGGGTGTGTTGCGACTTTTTTAGGAAATGAGCAGCAAGCGCGTAAACGCGTAACGGGCTTTGTCAGTCTATTTTCTGGGTTGAAAGTTTTGCTCGCGCATGATTTGCCTTTCGATTGTCTTCGTTCATGCCACTTTCGTTAGAGATTTGGACTCAAATGGAATAAGACTTGAAGTCAAAGTACGTGAATCATGGCCCGTGGCCCGTGGTTCAGTCCGTCGTGGCTCGTGGTTCGTCGGAACGTGGGACATTCTGAAAATAAGGGTGAAACGTATCACGCAACCCTCCGATATTTGCATGCATGTCCGTAACTGTAGGGTGAAATTGCCTTCATTTAGGCACCCTTGCGTGGTTATTGTAACAAGCTTGTCTCACGACACCTGGGGACTTCGCTATCTGCTGGCTTCGCCCTACATTTAGGTACTAATAATATGGGCCTAAGCACCTTCCTAGGCCTACCGGGCTTTATTGGCTGTGGTATGAGGACCGTGGATGACAGTATTAACCCCTGAAAAGAAACGATGGTCGCGGTTTGACTCGTGACCGGAATTGCGTTACGTGTGACATAGCTAACTCCATGGGCCGCGCAGAGCTGAACTCAACTCTTTGGCGTTGCCGCGCCTCTCCACCAAAAACGACAGCTCCTGTACATTAGGGAAATTCCTGAATGACTGGTGGGAGACATATGCACCGTGTTTCTATATATATATATATATATATATATATATATATATATATATATATATATATATATATATATATGGAAGGAATTCGTCCAATGCTGTCGTAATGCATTTTCATCAACGCTGGATCCGTTGACGAACGGCTTGGCGCAGCTGTTGGTCCCATCGCATCGCATCGCATCGCATACATTGGATCCTGTGGTAGCTCTAGCGTGGAGACAGCTGGGAAAACCAGCGCACCAACCGCGGTGGCCAATGCCCCTAGACTGCCAACGAGGACGAACCGCGAAGTCCGTTGAGCGCCAACCATGGCACGCCGTGGTCCATGAGGCGTCTGTTGCTTCAGTGTGCCGAGTCCTACTTTGACGGATGGCGGGCAGGTCTCGCCTTACCAATACCTGCGATCCCGTAGCGGTATCTTACGTGAAGTCTTTGCACAGGAGCCTGCCGAGGTGGTCCGTCAGTGCCGGTGCGTGCTGTATTGGCGAAGCAAAGCTCGCTTCTCCCCAAATCTGGCGGACTCTCGGCACACATGTCCTCGTTTTCATGCGACAGTGACTCGTCTTTACGTCGAGCCTCGGGCTGGCCAAGGGCTCGAAGTGGCTCGTCTCTGGACTCCGGTGTTGGCGGTGCCGAGGCCGGACTCCAGAGAGCGGGTCCGCGGCCGTTGGGGCAGGTTGCTAGCGGACTGCACTGGAGCTGTTGAGGTGTAGGGCACTGTTAGCGAAGTGAGGTCAAGTATTTATCAAGGTGACTTCAGCGATCTCCACCCATTGCAATCTTTACACCAACCTTCATCTGTGAAGCTCCTGAATGGTGTTCCCACCTATGTGACTCGCGCTTCCCATGCACGGTTGCTTGTATGGGATCACTGACTGACCACAGGTATCGACGTAATCTCCAGCGAAAGCGTCCACACAGCGTCCGCTTGCGCCATTTCTTACCCGCCGCTGCCCTGGCTGGCGTCCCATGCCGGTACCCCGACTATCGTCCGGTCCCGCTGTCCTGTCGCTGATGTGTCACTCCTGCTGCCCTGGCTGGTGTCACATGCGGTCACCCTGACTACCGTCCGGTCCCGCTGTCCTGTCGCTGATGCGTCACTCTTGGTGCCCTGGCTGGCGCCACATGTCGTTACCCTGACTACCGTCCGGTCCCGCTGTCCTGTCGCTGATGCGTCACTCTTGGTGCCCTGGCTGGCGTCATATGCCGTTACCCTGACTACCGTCCGGTCCCGCTGTCCTGTCGCTGATGTGTCACTCCTGGTGCCCCGGCTGGCGTCACGTGCGGGTACCCTGACTGTCGTCCGGTCCCGCTGTCCTGTCGCTGATGCGTCACTCTTGGTGCCCTGGCTGGCGTCACATGTCGTTACCCTGACTACCGTCCGGTCCCGCTGTCCTGTCGCTGATGTGTCACTCTTGGTGCCCTGGCTGGCGTCACGTGCGGGTACCCTGACTACCGTCCGGTCCCGGTGTCCTGTCGCTGATGTGTCACTCCTGGTGCCCCGGCTGGCGTCACGTGCGGGTACCCTGACTGTCGTCCGGTCCCGCTGTCCTGTCACTGATGTGTCACTCTTGGTGCCCTGGCTGGCGTCATATGCCGTTACCCTGACTACCGTCCGGTCCCGGTGTCCTGTCGCTGATGTGTCACTCCTGGTGCCCCGGCTGGCGTCACGTGCGGGTACCCTGACTCGTCCGGTCCCGCTGTCCTGTCGCTGATGTGTCACTCTTGGTGTCCTGGCTGGCGTCATATGCCGTTACCCTGACTACCGTCCGGTCCCGCTGTCCTGTCGCTGATGTGTCACTCCTGCTGCCCTGCCGGTGGTCTTATCACCAAGCTCCAGCCGCTGGGACTGCTAATGACGTCACACACCTTGTTGCCCCGGTTGGCATCTAAACCTGGTTCTCTTTTACTAAGGTGGCAGTCATTTAGCCTACCGCTGACGTGACTGTTACCCTGCCGCTGACGTGACCGTTCCCCTGCCGCTGATGTGACTGTTACCCTGCCGCTGACGTGACTGTTACCCTGCCGCTGACGTGACTGTTACCCTGCCGCTGACGTGACTGTCACCCTGCCGCAGACGTGACCGTTCCCCTGCCGCTGATGTGACTGTTACCCTGCCGCTGACGTGACTGTTACCCTGCCGCTGACGTGACTGTTACCCTGCCGCTGACGTGACTGTTACCCTGCCGCTGACGTGACTGTTACCCTGCCGCTGACGTGACCGTTCCCCTGCCGCTGATGTGACTGTTACCCTGCCGCTGACGTGACTGTCACCCTGCCGCAGACGTGACCGTTCCCCTGCCGCTGATGTGACTGTTACCCTGCCGCTGACGTGACTGTTACCCTGCCGCTGACGTGACTGCTACCCTGCCGCTGACGTGACTGTTATCCTGTCACTGACGTAGCTGTTACCCTGCCGCTGACGTAGTTGGTACCCGGGCAGGTGATTGCGCACGACGAGGACGCCGGTGTGAACTCCGAGCTGCGCTACTCGATCGTGTCGACGGACGGCCTGCGTCTGACCATCGAGCCGCGGCTGGGCCAGCTGCGGCTGCCGACGGACGGGGCGCCCATCGCCGCCGGCAAACACCAGCTGACCGTGAGTTATGGACGGCTAGTGGCCGGCACCTGCAGGGGCGTTGCGCTGCGCAGTGTGCGGTTTGATCTACGAGCGGCACCGCGCGAGCATCGACCGCGCGGGCGGCGTCCGGTGAAGCCATATTCAATATGCGGGCATGACATTTTCGTTGATTGGACAGGTGTTTGCGTCTTGCATGCATTGGTGTCCACAGTAGTTGCGCCATTGCGGGTCCACATAGTTACGGTGTTTGCGAACACCAATACAAAGCAGGATTGGCACTTCAGGCCGGTGAAGCTAGATTCTGCTTCTTTCCGTTTTACTGATTTTTGTTGATTATAACCGTCATCAGCTGGCAAAAACATAGAACCCCACGAGCTAGTTCAAACTACGTGTTTGGTCTGCGCTATTATAGTGTGTTAAGGTTTCATATTCTTACCAAAGGCCAGGTATATTGAGTTCCTTGTGAGAACACGCGCTCTGATGCATGGCTGACTTCCATGGCTGACCCCTGTTTCATGAGGCTGCAACGGATGGATTACATGTCAGTCGTAAGATGCTCAGAATTATGCTTTGTCAGCATATGGGCGTACGCACCCCACTGCAATTGTCAATATTAGATGGCTCAGGGTGTTTTTCAAATTGTTGTGGACAAGAACGAAAACTAAAAGGAAATATTGTGAGCGTTCTAGGGATGCAAATTTAGGAACTCTGTAAAAAAGACCATTTATAACAACTTAACTGATCCTTTCATGACCACATATTTCACGTCGGACGGGAAAAGTGCAACCTAGATGGACACCAGTGCCCCGTCATGGTAGTCATGCATCATGGACGATACAATTCGTTGGCACCGACTTTGAAGTGTGTTGATTTTCTTGGAGCCCAGATTTAGCCAGTAGCATCAGTATCATAGTATCAGGAAGACACAACTGCTGGGTTTCTCGTCATCTGGCATGTCAGCTCACTGGATCTTTTTGTACTATTTTGAAAGGCGCAATTTTTCAGGCAATTCCTAATCTCGCTATCATCAATGTAGATTCCATGGTAATTCATGGTAATGACATTCCAACGGTAATGCTCAACATGTAATTTGTTATACTGCTGTGTTGTTCCACGCTTGGCACATGCTTTGCCATGCTTGATTTTTTTTTGACAGTTTCTGCCATTTTTTGCCACCAGTAGTTCCTGCGAACTGCTCTGAACTGGCAAAAACCGGCCGGCAGTTTACGTTTCAGTCGGTTACTGCCAGCCCTGGTGCAGTGTGGCCCAACCTGCCTGATCAATAGCTGAGTTGGCTGGGACGCCCTGACTTCATCACTCGGCGCCAACGATCTGTCGTCACATGGCAGCCACGGCATGCCCCTGGCTCAGTTGTGAATTATTTATGCTAGTTAATATCTATACGCTCACAATGTTCCACCGAGCTAACCCGACGCACTTGAAGTGCTCCGAATCACGCTGCGGACTGGCGTTTATGGCCGTCCGGCTGATGGGTCGGGTCCGTGCGGTAGTCGGGTGAGCGACCTCCGTTTTGGACGAATGAATTGGCGGGTTGATAAGGGTGAGGACACCCACAAGACAGTTTGATTGTTTAAGACGGCTGTACTGTTTTTTCTTGTGGATGTGAAAATCATGTGCGATGAACAAACATTCTTGAACTGGAGCGATGACTGTTGTCTTGTGCCCGGTGTTCTTGAAAAGATGCCTGCCTTGTTGGTCGCTGAAATAGCGAATTATCTGCTTTCGGTATGCCCTGGTACATTAAAGGATGGCTCCTTAAAAAAGCTGGTAATGCCGAAACATCGGAAGCTAAAGACCTTCTTCCTTGATATCATGCACATGACGTGTTGAGTTTGCTTTGTCAGGCTTTTCAATGAAATGTTCACATTTGTGTGGTTTTCTGACTGAGTGGCCGGATTGTAGCACACAAATGTCGACGACCATAACGGTATCTAAGCGTAAAATTTTCCAGCTCCTTGGCTTGCATGCAGCTTATTTACCACATTGTTCCACACCGGATGACGTGAGGAGTGTCGCGTGATCACGTCGACGTAGTTCCGCGAAATTAGTAGTGGGCGGGGCTGGGGGGTCAAGCAGTGAAACCAATGGCGAAACGCACCGCCAAAATGAGCCGACGAACGGTTTTATCCCCTGATTTGCCTAACTTCCTTTTTAAAGTGTGGGAGGTGGGTGGCGAGGGGGGACGGGAGCCCCGCAGCTGAACAGAGCTGCGCCGCCGCGTGGTCAGGATTGACAGCGCTGTCGGCTGACGGCCCGGCGGACAACCAAGGCCTATGACCCCGCCAACCGCCGCCACCGGCCGCCGGTTAGCGGGGTGTGGCGCCATGACCTTTACGACGCAACAGTGCATCTTTTCTTTCGCAAAATTGTGATGCTTCCAAACTTCAGCAATTGTTGTCAGACACCGGTGGCGTAATTATGTCCAGCGTACGCAGTGCAATCATCTGCTGTCCTTTTTCTGATAACCGTAAGTGGTGAATGAAACATTCCCACTAAGTACGTTCCCGACTCCACGTGAAGAGTGATGAGCAGCGCTTGGATGGCAAATGAACCGGGACGGACATCGTTCATTGTCAAAATGTAAACGTCTCACTTATTTCCATGAGAATCACGCGGTCTGCTATGCTTTAGATGTACGGCACCTGGGGTTGAGAAGAGCAAGTGATGCGACTGGTTTGTTGCATCCCTTTTATTTTGATGGACGACGTGTTCAGGTCTCGTCTGTCGCGTTGAAACGACTGTGGTGTTCGCATATGATCGCCATCTCGGCTGTAACGTCGGCAGCGACGTCGGGATTTGGATATGGCTCTGACAAAAGAATTTGGAGTTGAGCAATTGGCGGCACATTGTAGCCGGGCTTGAATCGAACCGGGACGCCAACCCGTCACCAACCCGCCGCAGTAACGAGTGCTTGCCGCCGCGTTGAGGGCGTAACTGTTTCATGCATCTGTCAATGATACACGCCGTCGCTCGTGGGCACGTGGCGATTGAGGCCTCGGCGTTTCAACCTTCGGAGATTGTTCGATATTGACGTGTGAGGCAGGAGGGCCTTGGTGCCGGGGCGCTGTGACGGAAGCAGCGGCGATGTGGTCACCGCACACATCGTAAGTAGGTGTTCCCGCACGACGACTGCCCGCAAGGAACAGGGTTAGAGCATGGCAGTGACAGCACAGGAAAAGTGAGAAGGCAATTGCTGCTGTACGTGTGTGCCTCGAGTGCCGGCATGGGTTGGCTCGCGACAGGTGACCTTTGCCGTAGCGTGCCGTGCCGACCAGACCCGACCTTTCGCCGACTTTTCGTGCACCGTCGCTGGGGAACAAGGAGACGCGCCCAGTGAAGGCCGGTACAGAAAGGCAACCAGCGTGAAGCTCGCCGAGTAGCCAAACTGCTCACGAGACTCTTTGGAGGATATTTATTGCTTGGTGATGGCTGATAAAACATCACGCTGACGAAATGCCCTATAGGGACGATCACTCTAAACATTGAGCAACTATCCGTCATTATCAGCAGAGCAGCACCCTGCACGAGTGCCAGCTCACCGCACTCGGTAATGGGCGCCAGGCGCTGAGGTCGGAGCGGCGCCTGACGCCTCCCTCGCGTCAGCGGGGCCCTGTCCGTGGGTGAAGCGTCCAGACCGTCCTGCGATGTCAGTGGGGCCCTATCCGTGGGTGTAGCGTCCAGACCGTCCTGCGATGTCAGGGGCGCCCTGTCCGTGGGTGTAGCGTCCAGACCGTCCTGCGATGTCTGTGGGGCCCTGTCCGTGGGTGTAGCGTCCAGATCGTCCTGCGATGTCAGCAGGGCTCCTGTCCGTGGGTGTGGCGTCCAGATCGTCCTGCGATGTCAGCAGGGCTCCTGTCCGTGGGTGTAGCGTCCAGACCGTCCTGCGATGTTAGTGGGGCCCTGTCCGTGGGTGTAGCGTCCAGGCCGTCCTGCGATGTCAGTGGGACCCTATCCGTGGGTGTAGCGTACAGACCGTCCCGCGATGCCAGCAGGGCTCCTGTCCGTGGGTGTAGCGTCCAGACCGTCCTGCGATGTCTGTGGGACCCCTGTCCGTGGGTGTAGCGTACAGACCGTCCTGCGATGTCAGCGGGGCCCCTGTCCGTGGGTGTGGCGTCCAGATCGTCCTGCGATGTCAGCAGGGCTCCTGTCCGTGGGTGTAGCGTACAGACCGTCCCACGATGCCAGCAGGGCTCCTGTCCGTGGGTGTAGCGTTCAGACCGTCCTGCGATGTCAGTGGGGCCCCTGTCTGTGAGTGTAGCGCCCAGGCCGTGCCGTGATGGCGCCGGCTCCCGTCCGTGGGCGCCGCGTCCAGACCGTCTGGTGATGGCGTCGGCTCGGCGCCTCACGTGTCAGTGGGGCCCCCGCCCGTGGGTGCCGCGTCCAGACCGTCTTGTGATGGCGTCGGCTCGGCGCCTCACGTGTCAACGGGGCCCCCGCCCGTGGGTGCCGCGTCCAGACCGTCTCGTGATGGCGTCGGCTCGGCGCCTCACGTGTCAGCGGGCCCCCCGCCCGTGGGTGTCGCGTCCAGACCGTGTCGTGATGGCGCCGGCTTCGCGCCTCACTTGTCAACGGGGCCCCCGCCCGTGGGTGCCGCGTCCAGACCGTCTCGTGATGGCGTCGGCTCGGCGCCTCACGTGTCAGCGGGCCCCCCGCCCGTGGGTGTCGCGTCCAGACCGTGTCGTGATGGCGTCGGCTCCGCGCTGCCGGCTCGATCGCAACCTTTCCAGCGGCTGCAGGCGCGTCGTTAAACCTGAAACGGCCCTGGAATGAGAATTGGTGCCTGAACGGCCGAATTCGTGCATGCCGCGACTGAACTGGCGGCTCCGGCTTCTGCCCGCTGGGCTGCTGCTCACCTTGGACGGCGAATTTGGCGCCAATTTCCATGCAAATGCGGCCCATTGTGGACAGATATGACCTATTTCCCGAGCTGTAATCGTTAGCCAAACGATATCTGCAGAATCTGGGGTACGTCACAGATAGCGAGTGTGACAGAGTGTCGAGTTGGTCACGCTCATTCAACTTGGACCGGAAGACCAACGCAATCTAATGCATAAATGAATGATTAACTCCCACCATCGACGAACGCCAGTGGTGGACCCCGCAAAGCTCAGCAATATGACGTGTGTTGAGAGGTGGCGGCAATGAGCTGCCAGCGAAAACGTTTGTGTGTTGCCAAATGAAGAGCGGCGTAGATAGCGACGGCTCGGTATCTGTATGTACTCCAAGTGCACGCTTCATTTCATATAGTGAATCGTGTGAGGAGCTGAACACTGATGTGAGCTGTACCCGACGCTTTCTACGTTGACGGGAAGGAATTTGTATTCCAGCTAACGTGCTATTGTTAATTCCCCCACAGAGTATTGCATCGTTTTAGTTACTATGTCCACCGATTTTCCACCATATCCAATAATTTATTTGAATTTACTAAGCTCCAGCGTACTGGCAGTGTGCTTCGCTGGCCACAGTTTGCTTACTGCTGGCCCATTCTGCCTTCATCACCGGTTGGATTATGGAGGCTGGCTGACCTGCGCCCGACTGTAATTTCAAGGCATCACGCGAGGAAGCCCCACATAATGCTGCCGGCGGCCTTGCGTGAGCGACGGCGGCGCCCCGCCGTCTCGGGTGTTGCTCGGTTGTCGCGGCCTCGTCCAGGTCCGTCCGTGTGTGTCAGTGGGACGGCACGTTATGGGCAGCTATTGATCTTTCGAATTTCGGTGGAGCGGCCCGGCCGCCGCGGCTGGACGCGGCTGCGCTGTTAAGGAAGGAAGGACGCGGTGGTCGAAAGGACGTGCTGGGCCTTGGCAACTCGCAACAGCAATTTACGGATGAAGGTGACTTTACGTTGACTGATGCGTCGTTGTCGAAATGGTCCTGAGTGGAGCAGTTTTTCATTTCGATGCAATGCACGAGACGTGTTTTGGCAACATAATCAAAAAGGAAAACTTTCGCATTATGCCTGGTAAACTCGCTTGTTTTCTGAATGCAAGTGAAAGCGAGCACTGAACGAAAACTCCATATATGAACTTCACTTGCTCGGTGAATTGTGGCTGGTCTGCGTTCTGTAGCGGCGAAGAATGTACCTGTCCAGGCCCGACCGACGCTGATGCTCAAAACAGTAATGCGGTCCGTTCATGCGTGATGCGGTGACTGCCATTTTTGGTCTCAACATCTTGTCGCAGGAATGTATAGGAGGCCAATATTATTTGTTTATCCAAACCGTCGTGACAGTGACATTTACTACGAAAGAGGTAAACTTCCCTAGCACGGAGGGTCGGCCTTTCAAGCTTTGTGGATGCGTTTCTTTCTAGAACTTTTCTGTTTTGTAAAAGTACTTTGGGCAGGGGCGAGGCTAGGGGCAGCTAGGGTGGGTCGTGGAAGCAGAGGCCCTGGAGGCTCGTGCGAGGTCAGGAACAGTTGGAACGGGTCGTGGAAGCAGAGCCACTGGAGGTTCGTACGAGGCCAGGGGACAGTTGGGGCGAGTCGTGGAAGCAGAGGCCTTGGAGGCTCGTAAGAAGCAGGGGACAGTTGGGGCGAGTCGTGGAGGCAAAGGCCTGGGGACCCGTGCGCCTCGCGATTGCCTCTCATGGCCTTGACCTTGGCCTGGCTGGGGTTCGGGGTACTCGTCTCGGTGAGCGCTGACCTCCCGACGCGGGGGTGTTGCCCTGGGATGCCGACTCAGCTGTGTTGTACCGGCCCACTGGAATCGGCTCAGTGTTAAAGCTCGTCTGTACTGTTGCTATGCATGGTCTGCTTGCTTAATGGCATGCTGTTTTTCGCTCAGTGTGTGGGCTTTTTCGACTGCAGTGAAGCCACTACGCTGGTTAAGGCGCCTCGTGAGAACGGCGCCGGGCTGCGCGGACGCCACTTCCTCCGCTGGTGTGCCTGGTTATGTTCAGTTTCGCCGACACCCCAACGACCGCCAGTCCCCTTCTGCCTTACTCGGCCTGTGTTAAGGTGCCGTGCCTGGCGGCCGCCATCGTGCCGGACCGTGGTTTTGGCCGCACAAGGGCAGATGCCGCGCAAACAGGGTATATAGGCAGCGCTACAGGTGCGCAGTGCCCCGGACGCGACAACCAGGCCAACGGGGTCCGATCGTGGGGTCCGATCGTGCGCTTGTAGCGGACGCCGCTGTCATGTGTTATGCAGCTGGCGAGCGGACTGATAGGGTAGCAGTGCAGGGCGGCGCTGACGCTGACCGGCGCCACCGACAGAGAGGCCACTGACGCCGGTGGGGATGCTGGTCCCGAGCGGACCGGTCCCGTCTCGCGCAGACCGGCGCGTGCCGCGGACCGGCGTAGACCGGCGAGGACCGCGCGGACCGAGGGGACCGTGCGAACTGTGTGGACCGGCGCGGACCGGCGCAGACCGGCGCAGACCGGTGTGGACCGGCGTAGACCGGCGCGGACCGTACCCCGCGCTCGCTTGTCATCGGCGATGGCAGCGGCCGCGACCGGCACCCGCCACAGCAATGCCCGGGAAAGGCCGGCCGGCCGGTCGGAGACCCCCTCGTGCGGAGCCTCGCCAACGCGCCGATGTTCTCGGGAGGGCCAGACGGGTGGGGGTAATGGCTCTTCTGTATCGAGTAGCCACCGAGACCGCTGAGCACCCGAAACACTCTGCTAAGTGCTCCTAGTGGGAAGAGCCGCGCAGCTGAGATGCTATCCCGGTCATTTGTCCATATCTCCAGACAAGCACACAGAAAGCCTTTCTCGTGTGGCTCGCCACAGCTTACTGTCGAACGAAGGACCCTCTGAGGAATTCGGAGGTTTACTCGCTGTCTGGCAGGTGTCTGGAGACGTCTGCTCCATGAATGCATGCATGAAGAGCGATAACGTCACTCATGTTGGCTTCGTCACGATAAAAATCACTGGCGTCCTGTGTTTTTTTCTTTAATTTGTTGTAGGCCAAAGCCGTTCGTTTCGACTGCTGTTGATACGCGCCTGGGCGGCCGGTTAAATGCGCCTCGCTGGGATGGGGGTGGGGTCAACTTGCCTGCTCTAAGATCTCAAAAACCAGGAGTTGGATACGTCATATTCACGGGGCAAGTACGGCTCTATGTGAACTCACTTGTGCCAAACTTTGAAGTTTCTAGGTTGTGACATTCGTGTCAAGCAAGGTCAAACTCTTGATAGGCACCTGAAGTTCCTTTCTATGTCCTTATGTAACCAGCTTTAATCTAGATATCACGTATAAGCAAATGTGATTGATGCTTAAGTCATCGTTCTTGCTTGACCTTACGAAATTGAAATGACAAAACCCCTTCGGGATTGTTTAGATGTTTGAATTTACAATCGGCACCAAATACAACTATAGACGGGATGCTGCTAAAATTAAAAAAGGTTGAGTCCATTTCAGGTCATTGACTCCGTTGACTTTCATGAAGTCAAAATAAAAAAAGTTATTTTGACGTTGTGGTCCAGGAATTCGAAAGGAGCGCCACAAGTACCTCTCAAAGCAAGTTTTCCAGTAACAATGCGGTTTGGTTTTGACCTTGATCTTTGGTTCGGCTGCGCCGCGGCGTTCGGATGTTATTGCAGAAAAAAACCCGGGGGGTGAAGTGTTGACCCCTACCCGAGTGCATGTTAGCAGTGAGGACCTGCTGTCCCAGTTGAAAGTGATAAACGTGTCGGCAGTGAGGTCTCTTGTTGTTTCAATGTGGAGACTTCGTCCAGAAGCACTGTTAAACATGTATCTATTGTCACCGCATGCAACGGTAATTGACAGTGATCGTTCACTCAGCGTCATCCCATTGTTCCCCTGTTTCGGCGACATACGGTGGCGTGGTTACCGCTGAAGCCCCCGCTGTCCGCAAGCAGGGACAGCAGACGGTTGTTGGCACAGTCATAGTGTTTGGCTGCGCTGTTTGCGCGTCAAGGCGACAGACCACAGTCTGGGCAGCATCGAAGCTCGGCCATTGCCCCACCCAGGTCAGGGCAGTGGACAGCTGTGCTGTTACCACCGAGCTCTCCCGTTGTCGCCAGATGACGGCGGCGCATTGTGGCCAGTTGCTCACGCTGAGCGCCTTTTCTGTGTCCAGGTGCGGGCGACGGACGGCGGCAAGCCGGTGCGCTCGTCGGTGGCGCGGGTGCTGCTCACCGTGCTGGAGGAGGGGCCGCCGCCGCCCCACCCGCCCCGGGTGGACCTGCCTGAACGGGCCGTCCAGGTGTTCGAGACGGACCCGGTCGGTCACCTCGTCATCCTGGCCACTGCCAACGCCACGCTGCTCTTCAGTATTGCAGGTGAGGGTCAGAACTTTTGGGCCGTGGTCTCCTGCGTGTCCTCTCTCAATACGTCATGCCAGCCACCGCCAACGCCACGCTGCTCTCCAGTATTGCTCGCGAGGGGGAGGGACCGGACTCCGTGTATACATGCACTTACCTCTTTCCGTGCCGCAATCCGTGTACATGCACGAAGGTTGGACTGAGGCATTGGAGGGATGTGCGTGATGATTCACAATGATGCATGGTATGCAGACACATGCCCTGGAGTGTTGCACCTACGAGCCATTGGCGTGCTTATGGTACGCCGAAGCACGCCGGGCCGGCCTCACGTCCGATGCGAACGGAAAATGGCAGCAAACAAAACTGAGGCCGCATGCCGCCGGAGAATATGTCAGCCGGCGGCGAAGTTCCGAACACTGGACTGAAATATGCAGGACCCGTGGCCATGTCGCGCCCGGCCAGTACCCTGCCGAGGGGCGTATTTGTGCCGCCTGCAAAGGTCAGCCAAATCGTTCGAAGCACCCGGAGTTTATGAGCAGCTGCAAGTGTCTGACCCTCGCGGAATAATTCAAACGATGGCCCTCCAGTCCCCAACCACGCCAAGTTTTCGGTCGATCCGGTGAGTGCGTTCTGACATACGCGCTTCGCTTCGTGGCTTGCCGGACCGGTGTAGCGTTTAGCGTATGTAATTTTTTCTTTTGTGCGGCGAGGTTCCTTATTTCTGCCACCTGCCTTTGACTCGTCACGCCCGGTTGCCCCACCCTCCCCCTCTTCCCACGGGTAATCTATCGAGAGTAAAGGCTGTCGCGCCGCGAGTGCCGGCCGTATTAGCCTGATGGCGTCTGGACGCGGAGCAGCGCTCGCCCCAGTTTGAGCGAAGTCCGTGCCGGCGCCGGCGAGGACCATTGCACCGCGCTCCCATCACGCGTTCGGCCGGAGTGCAGCTGTGCCGAAGGGCTGCGGCGGAGCCGATGCTGCCGAGTGGCGCGCTCCCGCTGCTGCGTAATGGATTGGTCTGCTGAGGCGCGGTCCGGTCTTGAGATGTGCGCTGCCGGTACACGCGTTATGATCGAGCGGCCAGTGAGTCGTGCAATGGACAGGGTGAGTGGCGTTCAGTTCGAGCCGATTATGTTCATTGCTCACCGAGGCGTGCGCGGGGCAATGCTGACTAAAATACGGCCGCTGTGGATTCAGACTTGCAATCGTCCTGGCTATAGATGGAACTACGTGACTCGAATGCAGAATCGGTGCTCGAGTGCCGTTACAAAACGCAATGCCTGCGGCATTGTGTTTTAGGCACCGCGGTAACCGAGGTGTTCTTTACACGCGATAGCTAAATGTGCCATGGTAATAAGTCCGCCTTGAAATGCGTGTGCCTGTCGATCCATATTAACGGGCGGGTTCGTCTGTATTCCGCCGTGTGTCCGTTCCCGGTCCAAATCGGTCATGATTCCGACAGAAGCATAACAACAGATTTGCGCCCATTCTTAAATCCCCACAAAATGGGTAGAGATGCTATACGAGAAAGTTGTTTTCATATTCTTAAGCAGCCTTTTCTGCATCTCTCGGACGATTTTAACGACCAGGACTGAAAATGGCCCGCGGTTATAGCTTGCATGACTGACATGCATGGACTATTATAGCATTACCAGTCAAATGGCTGCGGTGTGCACTTCGGCACGTTAGGTCAGTTTTAGAGCATTCGATGTGCATCACGAGCAGGTGGTGGCATTCCCTGTGATTCGGGAATGGGTCCACACATTTATTCTGCCCAGGGACTGGGCATTCTCCGACATGCTGGCAGGAGAGAATAACTGATGACCATTTGTTACGTCTGTATCGGGGAACTGCTCCCATGTCACGGGATTGATCCCAGGCCGGTGATGTACGCCCAATCGCGGTGCATGTGGTATTCCTTTCCCGGTGGGGTTAAAGACATTTCTGCCGCAGGCGGCAACACCGGAGGCAGCTTCAGCGTCAACAGCCAGGGCGGCATCGTGATCGCCCGCCCGCTGGACTGGGAGACCACGGCCGAGTACACGCTGAACGTCTCCGCCACGGACGGACACCACGTGGTCTTCACGCCGGTAAGTGCCGCGAGGACCACAGCCCGAACACCTCCGTCGCAGTCTACACCTCTCCGCGCAGCTCCGGGCGCTCCCTCACCACCGCCGCCAGCGCAGTCCACCTCCGTCGCAGTCTACACCTCTCCGCGCTGCTCCGGGCGCTCCCTCACCACCGCCGCCAGCGCAGTCCACCTCCGTCGCAGTCTACACGTCTCCGCGCTGCTCCGGGCGCTCCCTCACCACCGCCGCCAGCGCAGTCCACCTCCGTCGCAGTCTACACGTCTCCGCGCTGCTCCGGGCGCTCCCTCACCACCGCCGCCAGCGCAGTCCACCTCCGTCGCAGTCTACACCTCTCCGCGCAGCTCCGGGCGCTCCCTCACCACCGCCGCCAGCGCAGTCCACCTCCGTCGCAGTCTACACGTCTCCGCGCTGCTCCGGGCGCTCCCTCACCACCGCCGCCAGCGCAGTCCACCTCCGTCGCAGTCTACACCTCTCCGCGCTGCTCCGGGCGCTCCCTCACCACCGCCGCCAGCGCAGTCCACCTCCGTCGCAGTCTACACCTCTCCGCGCTGCTCCGGGCTCTCCCTCACCACCGCCGCCAGCGCAGTCCACCTCCGTCGCAGTCTACACCTCTCCGCGCTGCTCCGGGCTCTCCCTCACCACCGCCGCCAGCGCAGTCCACCTCCGTCGCAGTCTACACCTCTCCGCGCTGCTCCGGGCGCTCCCTCACCACCGCCGCCAGCGCAGTCCACCTCCGTCGCAGTCTACACCTCTCCGCGCTGCTCCGGGCGCTCCCTCACCACCGCCGCCAGAGTGCGGCCGGTACGCCGCGAATGGGCTTCCATCTGAGGGCGCGGGTTGTCCGGGTGCGGGCGGCCGCGAGCCGCCGGCTGTCTCCAGCAGTCGGCCCTCGGCCACCGCCTGCTCAGGTATCGACGCCCGTGCTGGGTCCGGCGACAGCGTGCGACGCGCGTTTTGTGGGCCCTCGGGGAAGGAATAACGCGCCGTTAGAGCCGGCACGGTCGGCGGTGGGCCGTAATGACCGACTGGCGTGGTCATTAATTGCCTTGTCGGAAGTTTGTGTTCGAAGGGTCATCTGCGCCAACATCCGGCGCCGACCAGAGCCTGTTGGCAATGCGGAGGTTGTGGGCGCGTGTGCCACTGTTCTGAAGCCTTCCTCGAAGCGAGCTGCTCCGCCGCGTCCCGTTTGGCGTGCGCTGTCGGCATGGCTGCGGCTGTGTTGGGCTCCTGCTGTTGCCGACGACTGGTGCGACGGTGTTGTTGGTCTGCCCGGTCTTCGTAAACGTTACGCGAGATACATGTTTCCATTGAAGTCACCAGGGCAGTAATCTTTCCCTCCGGTGATTGCAATGCCGTCTGTACAAGACGGCTGACAGGGCGTGTGCTCCTGACGTCACATATTTCCAACGAGCGTCGCGCACCGCCAGCTGTGTCAAGTACTTGTCCACAAAAGTGCACGGGGGGGGGGGGGGGGAGAGGTAGCTTGGGAGAACAAATTATGAGAACAACTGTCGTCAGTTGATTCAGCCTTGTTGGCGGTGCTCCACGAGACGGCAGTGGTCTCCGCGCGGGTGCGAACCGCTGGCTGGTGTCCGCATCTGCTGACGGACGGGGGCTCATTTCGCCGCAACACCGGTCGTTCTCAAATGTCGACGCCACAAAGAGGTCTCTTGCCTGCTACAGGGCGTGATGAACGACTGTGTTCGCGTCCCGCGGGGCGGGCGCCGCGGACTCGGGTATTTCTGTCGGGGTGGATTGTTTGCCGGTGCGGCTGACTCCGCGAGATTCCGGAGCTCCCGCCCACTCCGCTCTTAGCAAATGACCCGGTCCCTTGCTGCAGGCCGTCCGGACCAAGGAAGGGCGTATTCGTCTTCTTATTGGTCTTTCTCTGTCGAGCGGCCGGCCGGCGACACGCTGCTTGATCTCTGCCCCCCCCCCCCCCATCGGCAAGGGATCATTGCGCACCGCTGCTCAGGCACTCCTATATTGCCCTGAGTTGGCCGGTGTCGAGCCTACCACTGCTGGCGTCACTGGCCCCCTCCCGTGGCATCATGTTAACGATGGACGTTTGGTGATCGCCCAGCCGTGCACTGTGTGCCGTCCCACACTGTGTTAAAATTGACTAAAACTGTAACACGATTCCATTCAGTATTCTAGGGCCTGTGTTATGCGTCCCGATGTTGTGCACGTCTCACGATGTCTTTGTCATGCCTGCTCGTCCGCCGCCAGCTGCGGATCACAGTCTCAGTGCGTGTCTCACGGTGTGTTCACCATGTCCGCCGCCAGCTGCGGATCACAGTGCTAGACGTGAACGACCGGGATCCGGCGTTCGAGCGCGCCCTGTACGCCGTGAACGTGTCGGAGGCGGCCGAGCCGGGTGACCGGCTATTGACAGTGAGCGCCGCCGACCCGGACGGCGAGGCGCTGCTCTACTACGGACTGGAGGCGGCGCAGAGCGACCGCTCTCTCCGTCTGTTCAGCATCGACCCCATGACCGGCCAGGTCACCGTGGCCGGACGACTGGACAGGTGAGGTGATCGATTGGGTCAGTCAGGTCACCATCGCCTGGAGATTGGGCAGTTAGATTCATCTATTTGGTCAGTTAGGCTGTTAGTTCAGTTGGCTGTTTGGTTCATTTCGGAAGCAGATTGTTTAATGAACATGAGCCGTTAGAAATAGCAGCGCTTTCGTTGTTTGTTGCCTTTCGAGATGTTCTTTCGATCCCTCGGATTAAGTGGATCGAGAAGCCAGCAGGTGCCAGCTTCTCCAGATTGCGGATCGAACTGTTCTCAACAGACGCAGCCCAGAATGTCAGCGCTTGATCCGCGAGATCAAAAGAACATTTCGGAAGATTTATTGATCAGTCTAACGGTTTGCTGCCCGCCCGCGGCGCGCGCGTGTGCGTGCGTGCGTGCGTGCGTGCGTGCGTGCGTGCGTGCGTGCGTGCGTGCGTGCGTGCGTGCGTGCGTGTGTGTGTGCGTGCGTGCGTGCTGTCCACATACTCCGTCGCTCAGTCTCTGTTCCTCTATGATGTGTCGTGCTCAGGTGGTGAGTGCTGACCCCTGACCGATGCCGCCGTTGGCTGGGGTCCAGGGCGCGGGACGAGACCCTGGACGGGGCTTGATTTTGCCTGAGGCCGGCTCTGTCGCGTGCCCGACCGGTGCCGCCGGTGGCCGAGATCCAGGGCCGCGGGACGAGGCCCTGGGCGGCGCTTGGTGTCGCCCGGGGCAGGCTCTGACGCGGGCTGCTCCATGTGTGTTCTGCAGGCCTCTCGGCCGCACGCGGCCTGATTTCCAAAGTCCCGCCTGGTCGCCGCTGTCACTGTCGCCATGCCAGTTCTCAGCCCACAAGGGAGGGCCTGGCCGTATGACCGGCTGACGCTGACGTAGTTGGGCGGGGCTGTGCGCCGTCCGCACCGAATGGCATGTCCGCGCTGCGCATCGCTGCCGTTGTAGCAATGCAGTAACCAGCGGTCCGCGGTGGTGACATTAGCTGAAAACTGGAGTGTACGGTGCAGACTGAGCATTGGCGTTGCATAAACTCAGACGTCGATGTACCCAACCCCACAAAATTAAACCAGCATCGACGTAAAGCCGGCTTGGGGCAGGAGGTGCCGTCGCTCCGTGTACCAAAGCCACAGCGTGAGTGGTGACGGGACGCCTCGGTATCGACCTGGTGCCGGACGTCACCGGCAGAGGCCGTGGCCCCGGTCAATTTGAGTCGGCTATGACAGGGCGGCCCGAGTGGTCGATGCGACTGTGAACGCTAATTATCAGTCTGCTCATCGACACGCAAAAGGCCAGTCGAGGCCGGCGGGCTGGCGCGTGCGCGGCACGACGTGAGCGTCTGGAGCACATGAGAGTGGGCGGCGCGCCGTCTGGCCCGCCGTCTGGCCCCCCGCGAGCATCGGCCGCGCCGGCCGGCGCTCGTACCCACACGGGGCTCGGCGAGAGACCGTGACATTAGGCGTGATTGCCCTGGAAGGACGGGTCCCGCCAGATAGGCGGCTATAACAGGCCCGGTCTGTCGATGTGTCGAGGTCGGGGCTTGGCTCGCTTTATCAGCTGACGCGGACTGGCGGCGCCACTCAGCTCACGTGGTCAGGTCGGACGAGGCGCTGTTTTCGTCTCGTTTCCGAGCGTCATTTGGCAATCCGGACAATGTCTCCGTTACTGGCTCGTCTCAGGCTGTGTCTTTGTCATCAGCAGATCTCGTACTGTATTGTTCGTTAATGTTTGACGGCTGTATCGTATATGTCTTCTCTAGTTGTCCGATCTTCCAACGGGACGCCCAATTTTCATATTTGCCCATGATGTGCCACTTTCCATCACCGTTTGCGGACAACTGAACTCCTGGTGGCACATCCGCCTCCTCCTCTGTCCTCTCGCTGCCGGTCGGACAGGACAGCCGGCAACACAGCCGCCTCCTCAGTTCGTCCTCTCGCCGCTCGTCTGCCTAGACAGCGGCTAACACGTTCTCCCCCGTTCGGCCGCAGGGAGACGGAGCACGAGCACGTGCTGACGGTGTCGGTGCGGGACCAGGGCACGCCGGCGCGCCGCGACTACGCCCGCCTGCTGGTGCACGTGCGGGACGAGAACGACCACCGTCCGCAGTTCCTCAGCGACCTGGTGGTGGGCCAGGTGCACGAGACGGCGCCGGTCGGCTGGCAAGTGGTCACCGTGCTGGCCACCGACCGCGACCATGGCCAGAACGCCCGCATCACCTACTCCATACTGTCAGGTAGGCCACCCCGATGTGACGTCACGTCTGTTGTGGTCATCTACACCATGCTGTCAGGCACGACACCTCCGCACTGTCAGGTATGCCATGGTCACCCACTTCAGACCGTCAAATATGTCCGTTCATGCATTCCATATTGTAAGGTGTACCACCTCTGTAATGTCAGACATATGCCCTGCCCCTGTTTCGTGTTCTGTACCGTCAGATGTAGCCGGGCGCTGCGTTATCTGTACGGTGAGACGGGCCGTGTTTATCCTTTTCGCATTGGTTCATACAGTTTGCATGGGAGCTATAGGTGTGCTTTCGAGTTCTCAGGATTGCAAATCTTTTTGGCGAAATCTCTCGTGACTTCATTTCGCACAAAGCCGGGCGCTTGGTCCACGCCGACATTGTTCACGCCCGGTCGACATTGTCACAACCGTAGTCCCCAGAAGTGCTCTGGCCACTACCGTCCAGGCCGGCTCGCGACGGACCTCGTCCCGGCCAGGTGTGCTCGAGCCGAGCCTCGTGGCGCCGGGTCGGTCCACATCCACTCCGCGTCTCTCTTTGATGGAGCACGTGGCGTGATGAAACGACCGCAACGGTGGCCGGGCGCCGAACACACAGCTCAACAGCACGAGCCCTAGATGAGCTCCAGTCAGGCCCCAGACGGGCCCAACAGCACGAGCCCTAGACGAGCTCCAGACGGGCCCCAGACGAGGTCGCGTCGAGCCGCAGACGAGGCCTGGTCGAGCCCAAGAGGAGCCCCCAGACGAGCGCAGACGAGTCCTAGACGAGGCCCAAACAAGCCCCAGACGAGCTGCAGATGTGCCACACACGAGTTCCAGAGGGGCCCAGAGGAGCCCCTGACGGGCCGGGACGTCGACACCTGGCCAGGCAGCGCCGTGCGAGGCCGTTAAACGGCTATCCGATGGCACGAGCAAGGACGAGTCCCTGGCGAGCGAGGACGAGCCGGGAAGAGGGTGGGACGAGCTGCAGACTGACCCGGACGAGCGGCGGCGCCGCCTCGGTCGGGGCCGTTGCGGCGGCGTGACTGGCTCGTTGTGCGGCGGACAGCCGCCGCTCACGCCGCGCTCGCCGCTTTACGGCCGGCTTGGGCTCCGCCGCCGGCCCGGCCGGCCGGCGCCTGCTGGGCTGCTGACGGCCGTGAGCCGGCGGAGAGTGGATGGGGTCCGCCTGGCCGCTGTTCGTCCGGCGCGGCTGATTTGATGAGCGGAGTGGGCAGGTGCGGCGGCGGTGGCGGCCGCTCGTTACGGCCAGCTGTTTGCGGCGACAGGTCGGGCGTGCAGGACGCCGGGCTGACAAAGACCGCTGGTTAAAGCCGCACTCGAGTGGAGTGCGGGTAGGTCAACGGTACATTCGATCTCACCGCCGATGTATCGGGCGCGACTGACGGCGGTCAGTCACTAGTCGCGGGCTTGGGATGCGGGATGCTCATGGGATAGGTCCGCAGGCGGGGTTCATCGGCGCTGTCTCCGTGAGTTTGTGTGCTAGGCAAAGTTTCGACACGCCCGCTGACACTGCAGCGACGTCACATCCGCGACGTGCACTGGCGTTCTGGCTACACTGACCCGGGATAGCGGTGACGGCCAGCAGCGCCGCGTCTGGTCGTGACAGGGCCGCCGGCGGGTCGCCGCTCCGCCCGCTGAGGCCGGTCTGCCCAGCCTCAGCCCGCCGCCCGGCATCGCTGTGGGCTGGCGAAGAACCCGTTCGCCGGCGGCCGGGTGGCGTGCCTCCCCGACGCCGCCCGGAAGCCGTGCGGCCCCTGCGTGAGTCGGCCATCGATCCGCTGGTGTCCGTGGATGGCCCCCGGCGGCACCCGTGGCCTCGAAACAACCCCGAGCCAGCCCCCGGCGGCACTCGTGGCCTCGAGACACCCCTGAGCCAGCTCCCGGCGGCACCCGCGACCACGCAACGCCCCTGAGCCAGCCCCCGGCGGCACTCGTGACCTCGCAACACTCGCGAGCCAGCCCCCGGCGGCACCTGCAACCTCGCAACACCCCTGAGCCTGCCCCCGGCGGCACCCGTGGCCTCGAAACACCCCCGAGCCAGCCCCCGGCTGCACCCGTGGCCTAGAGACACCCCTGAGCCAGCTCCCGGCGGCACCCGTGGCCTCGAAACACCCCCGAGCCAGCCCCCGGCGGCACCCGTGGCCTCGAAACACCCCCGAGCCAGCCCCCGGCGGCACCCGTGGCCTCGAGACACCCCTGAGCCAGCTCCCGGCGGCACCCGTGGCCTCGAGACACCCCTGAGCCAGCCCCCGGCGGCACCCGTGGCCTCGAGACACCCCTGAGCCAGCTCCCGGCGGCACCCGCGACCACGCAACGCCCCTGAGCCAGCCCCCGGCGGCACTCGTGACCTCGCAACACTCGCGAGCCAGCCCTCGGCGGCACCTGCAACCTCGCAACACCCCTGAGCCAGCCCCCGGCGGCACCCGTGGCCTCGAAACACCCCCGAGCCAGCCCCCGGCGGCACCCGTGGCCTCGAGACACCCCTGAGCCAGCTCCCGGCGGCACCCGCGACCACGCAACGCCCCTGAGCCAGCCCCCGGCGGCACCCGTGGCCTCGAAACACCCCCGAGCCAGCCCCCGGCGGCACCCGTGGCCTCGAGACACCCCTGAGCCAGCTCCCAGCGGCACCCACGGCCACGCAACGCCCCTGAGCCAGCCCCCGGCGGCACTCGTGACCTCGCAACACTCGCGAGCCAGCCCCCGGCGGCACCTGCAACCTCGCAACACCCCTGAGCCTGCCCCCGGCGGCACCCGTAACCTTGAAACACCCCCGAGCCAGCCCGCGGCGGCACCCGTGGCCTAGAGACGCCCGCAATTCAGCCCCCGGCGGCACCCGTGGCCTAGAGACACCCCTGAACTAGCCCCCGGTGGCACCCGTGGCCTAGAGACACCCCTGAGCCAGCCCCCGGCGGCACCCGTGACCTCGAAATACCCCCGAGGCAGTTCCTGGACCAGAGGACGGCGGGGCCAGCTCGGGCATGACAACGACGGCCGGGTTTGCGTCGCTGAACGATCCTTTTTTACCCAGCAGCAGTTCGTTTGGCTAATTGTTTTGTTTTCGGCAGCCGGCTGGCTGCTTTACGTGCAGTAACTTCTGCACCAGGGGCCCGTGGGACTTCTGTTTGCGCCGAAAGGAAGGAGACGCAGTATATTGCGCCGCATCGTTGACTGCTCGCTGGCCCGCCCTGGGTTGTTTTTTATGGATGCCGGTCGTTCGACTTCGGTGATTGTTCCCGAGACTTCGTCCATCCTCAGTCGATTGGTATGGTAGGCCTCAAGTTTGAACACTCCCTTGACATGGCACTTTGGCCACCATTTGTTGGCGGGTGATGAGCGCGGATTTCTCTGTCAGGATGGGCGTGTGTGAGACACTAAGGTTGGCTGATGTGATGGATCGACCAGCCTCCAGAACAGTGACGGGCACGGGCTCAGTACTGCAGTGCCGCGTGCAGGGAACAGGGTGCCTTGCTGTCCATTGCTCGGACAGTTGGAGCTCGGTGTTAGCGGCTCACGCCTATTTGGACCCATGTTCTAGCATGTGATCTCTAAAAAACTCCCTGTGGTGATTTTATCGTAGATCGCATTCCATTTGATCGCGTTCCGAGAGCCTGGTGCTGTATCAAAAGAAGTGGATCAGATAGCCTTGGTCAAGTAGGACCACCTTTGTGTCGATGGGTGGTTCGATTTAAATCATGATACGGAGGATGCCAGCTGACCTTTCCGTGTCATTTGGACCAAACCCTGGGTACGTTCTGTGACTCGCGCCCACTGTCGCTCTGTTGGGTAGGTCCCGTTTGCTGGATCGAGCGTGCTTGGCAGGATTCATCGAAGAACATGGCTGTCCATTTGCTCGGATGATAAATCGTGTCATTTTGGTTTGCGCCGGATCCATGCAATATGGGAATAAGACAATGCGCTGTGCCGCGAACCCCATTGCTATTTCAGCGTCAGCTGTGCCCGGATGACCTCGGGTTTTATGTCTGGCCGTACATCAGTCCTGTTTCGGATGAAGCTGACTGTTGAACTTCCTCTCTCCGCCCAGCACTAAACAAAGTTATGCCCCCTCCCCTAAGCTCAGCTTTGGAGGCCTTGTGGCGGCGGCGGCACCCTACTACACAAAGTCGGCACTGATCCATGGCCGCCGCGTGCGGCTGAGTCGCGCCGTGGCGCGGCGGTGAGCTGGCGGCGGCGGCGGCGGCGGCGGCGGCGGCGGCGGACCGGGCCTGGCCGGGCGGGCCGTCCCCGTCGGGCCGACCCGCGGGACCCACGGTCTGCGGCCTCATCAGGCGGTCGCGGCCGTAAGCCGCCGTGACGCGCCGCCGCCTCATCAAATCGCCGGCGGCATTTCGGCGCCCGGCCATCTGGCATTGACGCGGCGCCGAAACAGAATCCAATCTGGCGCGGCCGCGGCGAGGTCAGGCGGCGCAGTCCTTCAATTTGGAGGGCGGCGGCAAAACACGACCGACGACGCCGGCCCGGCCCGGCCTCGGCCGCACGGCCTCCCCGCCAGGGGCTGTCGCAGCGGACACGAATCAGCTGCTGGCTTGGCAAGAAATGTGGGAAATATTGCAAAGAAAATAAATGCATGGGATGCTTATAATGATAATGCATACGACTTTAACACACACCTACACGCATACACACTGTTAAGCACAAATGGTACTAGCTCTTTTGATCCATAGATGCCGTGGTTGGTACGGCATTTGTTAATGCAGAATGACGTTTGGGGCATGTTATATTTAGTGCATGGTACGGCGTACGGTTGATGACATTGCCGTTGTCGCTGCGCGGCCTCAGCCAAGGCCGTTCCCACACGTCCCTGACGTTCCTCATGCCACTGTCGACCGAATCTTGTCTGATGGTAGTAAACCGAATTTCTAACTTAGTTATGACAACCCAAATGTCATCACTTGGTGGTGGGCGACCTTTAAATGGAGCAGTTGCATAGTGGATGACGGTGCAGACCAGACGGCGACTTCCCGGTCGGGCGCGGCCCCTTGTGAAGCCACGGGGACATCGATTGCCGTGGCCTGTTGTTTGACCCGGATGCCGGCCTTCAGGCGTTTTGTGTCATGACTGGTGGTGTCCTCATGTGGAGTCTGTGCGCGTATGCTGCAGCGTACATGATGTGAAACCCTCCACACTTGCAAGCAGCAAGCTCCAGCAAGCGTCCGTGGCATCCTCAACTGTCTGAATCTCGCCGAGTTGTCCGCTGTAAAGCCCTGCTCCCCCTCTGCTGCTGATTAACACAGCCACCTGACGTCCGCCTCCGCCGCCGCCAGGTAACGTGGACAACGCGTTCGCGGTGGACTCGGTGCTGGGTACCATCTCGGTGGCCATCGGGCTGGACCAGCGGCGCGCCAGCGAGTACATCCTAACGGTGCGCGCCAGCGACGCCGGCCGGCCGCCGCTGCACGGCGACGTCCACGTCAACGTACTCGTCACGCTGCCCGACAACGCGCCGCCCCGCTTCGAGAAGGTCAGTGCTCACCGCCCCGCTTCGGGCAGATCAGTGCGCACCGCCCCGCTTCGAGAAGGTCAGTGCGCGCCGACCCGCTTCGAGAAGGTCAGTGCGCGCCGACCCGCTTCGAGAAAGTCAGTGCGCACTGCCCCGATTCGAGAAGGTCAGTGCGCACCGCCCCGCTTCGAAAAAGTCAGTGCGCACTGCCGCCGCTGCAACGGAAAGTGTGCTTCACAGGGCTGGGCTCAGCGTGGATCGTTCCGCGGTCCGGTCAGCCGGGGGGGGGGGGGGGGGAGGGGAGGGGCAAATGACTGTGCGAACTGAAGCAGCTTTTGACGGTCTTCGGCTTCGTAAAGGGAATGTACTGTCGACGCTTGGCACATGACTGGGAAGTACATCTGTTACATTTGATTGACTGCTTCACCTGCGAGCGGCATAGGTCTTCGGTCCAATTTTTTATCTATCGAATTGATAAGCGCGCTCCCATCACAGCAATGAAAGGTGACCCGCAGTCGTCGTGACTGACAACGGCATTGATGTGCGCAAGTTATGGAGGAGGATTGGTGAGCCCTGCCTCGCCCATTACGTTCCCGGAAACCATAAAGAGAGTCAATATGCGGCAAACAACACGCACGGCGGGCAGAAAAATACCGAGCCCGTTCTCTTGCGCGCCTGCTTCCTTATAAGAGATGTTTTTCTGCAGCGTGGCTTGATTATTCCATTAGCTGAAGAGTTTGAAACCGTGTCTAAAAGCGTTGCGAAAAGAGTATTTCTAAGGCAAAATGTCACATTTCGCTTTGTTATGGACTAACGACGAGCTCTTTGAAACATAATAGCCTGTCATAACAGCGGGCTGTACCTGAAAAATTGCCTGTGGGGGCTTCCGGACTTTTGCTCGCAAGAATAGAACGGAAAGCTCTGAGCGACGATATGTGCAGTGATGCATCTGCGCAAAGGGCCGGAGGTATTGTGTTAATGCCGTATTAGCAATGGAAATTGCCTTAACGAGTGGAGGCTGAATCGAAGCGAGAGAACCATTCAGGGATGCGCTTGCTGTGGATGTCTGTACTGTTACCGGCAAAGTGCGGATCTGAGGTGGACCAGGGGACCCCGGGTACTGACGTGTTGTCCGTGTCCACCGCTGCAGGCAGAGTACGGCGCTGAGGTGGAGGAGGACAGGCCTCCGGGCTCCCACGTGCTGGACGTGGTGGCCCACTGTCGGACTTCAGTGACCTACCGTCTGGTGGGAGGCAATGAGGACGGCTCGTTCCTGCTGAACCCTGGCGCCGGGGTGCTCACCGTCAGCGAGAGACTCGACTACGAGCGCCGCACCTGGTACAACCTGTCCATACAAGCCGTCAGCATGGTGAGAGTTCGCGTGACTACGAGCGCTGCACCTGGTACAACCTGTCCGTACAGGCCGTCAGCATGGTGAGAGTTCGCGTGACTACGAGCGCCGCACCTGGTACAACCTGTCCGTACAGGCCGTCAGCATGGCGAGAACTTCGTTGGCGGTTTCGGAATTCCAAGTCCCAACGCTCGTTGGCACTAAGCTCCCTGCAAGGATAAGCTGACGGAAGTTCCCAGACGTGCCAACGTTATTGTCAAGTGCGGGGGCTAGTTATGTCGACCGACGTCATACATTGATATCCCGATCACTTTTAAATGGCATTTGCTGCCCCATGTGTAGGAACATCATTTCCACACTGACTCAAGCTGTGTTATCTCCACAAACGGGTGAAAAACCCTAATCATGTGCCGGTAAGCAGTGGCCTCCAGCGCACATCTCACTTGTGACCATCTCCTCTGTCGGATGAGATGGCCCACACGAGCGGCATTATAACCAGAGGTCTGATCCCGTCTGACCTGTGTGCCGTCCCCTCCAGGTGGGCGAGGTGGCCCACATGAACGTCATCATACCATAACCTCTAACTGACCCCGGCTGACCTGTGCACCGTCCCCTCCAGGTGGGCGAGGTGGCCCACATGAACGTCATCATACCATAACCTCTAACTGACCCCGGCTGACCTGTGTACCGTCCCCTCCACACGAGCGTCATTATACCCTGACCTCTGACTGACCCCAGCTGACCTGTGTACCGTCCCCTCCACACGAGCGTCATCATACCCTGACCTCTAACTGATCCCGTCTGACCTGTGTACCGTCCCCTCCACACGAGCGTCATTATACCCTGACCTCTGACTGACCCCAGCTGACCTGTGTACCGTCCCCTCCACACGAGCGTCATTATACCCTGACCTCTAACTGATCCCGTCTGACCTGTGTACCGTCCCCTCCACACGAGCGTCATCATACCCTGACCTCTGACTGACCCCAGCTGACCTGTGTACCGTCCCCTCCACACGAGCGTCATCATACCCTGACCTCTAACTGAACCCGGCTGACCTGTGTACCGTCCCCTCCACACGAGCGTCATTATACCCTGACCTCTAACTGACCCCGGCTGACCTGTGTACCGTTCCCTCCACACGAGCGTCATTATACCCTGACCTCTAACTGAACCCGGCTGACCTGTGTACCGTTCCCTCCACACGAGCGTCATCATACCCTGACCTCTAACTGAACCCGGCTGACCTGTGTACCGTTCCCTCCACGTGGGTGAGGTGGCCCACACGAACGTCATCATGCCCTGACCTCTGACTGACCCCGGCTGACCTGTGTGCCGTCTCCTCCAGGTGGGTGAGGTCGCCCACACGAGCGTCATCATACCCTGATCTCTAACTGACCCTGGCTGACCTGTGTACCGTCCCCTTCAGGTGGGCGAGGTGGCCCACACGAGCATCATCGTGCACGTGCTGGACGTGAACGACAACCGTCCGCGGCTGGCGCGGCCACGTTACGCCGGCCGGGTGCGCGAGTCGGCGCCGGTCGGCTCGGCCGTGCTGGCCGACGACGGCCGGCCGCTGGTGGTGGCCGCTGTTGACCTGGACGACAACAGCAACGGCCGGCTGCTGTTCAGCATCGTGGAGACGGCCGCCCGCCAGTTCCTGCAGATCGACCCCGACTCCGGTGAGAGTGGCCGGAGTGTGCCGGCGGCGCGAGGCAACTGAACACTGTCGCGGCTCATGTGCTGGTTTGGAGTCTGTGTCCGGCCTCGGGCTGTACCGACTCCGTCCGCTAACGCGTGTGCTGCACAGGTGCCCTGAGGACCGCCGGCGCGCTGGACCACGAGAGCCGGTCCCAGCTGGAGTTCACGGTGGACGTCTGGGACCGCGGTCAGCCCCGTCTGCAGGCGGCCAGGCCGGCCCGCGTCACCGTCGCCGTGCTCGATGTCAACGATGAGCCGCCCCGTTTCGCGCACGCGCAGTACAACTTCACCGTGCTGACGCCCAGCTACGACGGCGTGGAGGTCGGCACCGTGCAGGCCTCCGACCCGGACACGCAGAACATCAGGTAACAATGCAGGCCTCCGACCCGGACACGCAGAACATCAGGTAACAGTGCAGGCCTCCGACCCGGACACGCAGAACACCAGGTAACAGTGCAGGCCTCCGACCCGGACACGCAGAGCATCAGGTAACAGCGCAGGCCTCTGGTCCGGACACGCAGAACATCAGGTAACAGTGCAGGCCTCCGACCCGGACACGCAGAACATCAGGTAACAGTGCAGGCCTCTAATCCGGACACGCAGAACATCAGGTAACAGCGTAGGCCTCTGATCCTGGTAATCGGTGCGATCGTGCTCGAGTCTGGGCGCTGAGAACGTTTGCATCGTACACAACCAGCCTCCGAATTCGTGTTTTCGTTGTTGAACGGGCGAGCACGATTTGGTTTCGTGGCTTCAGCGACTCGCTGATCCTTGGGCGCAAAATGACCACTGCAGTGGACGCGCCCGAAAACACCAATGAACAACAAAATAACGACTCGCTGATCCCGTACGGGACCTGCTGCTGGACAACAAATCGGTCTCCAAAAGCTGTTTTGCACAACGTAATGAATGCGTTGCTGTCATGCACTCTGTCATTGTCTGAGAATCGTTTCTTCAATTTGAGCGACAAGCGGTGGCGTGGTTTCGTAAAATTAGTTGTGGGACTGGTCAGTAAAGACGGACGGCGCCTACCCCAAAAACTACGCCAACGAACGACCGACTTAGCCCATTTTCTTCTCAAAGTTGGGGGTGGGATATCTGGACCCCCTCTCATACTACTGAATAAGAAAGGGCACCGCCGGTGAGAAGTGTTCGTGCATCTCCCAGCTCAGGGTGCGGTTAACGCTCTGTCACTCCCTGGCCATTTTTTGGACGCCTCGTCGTGTCCCCAGCTTCCCTCTGCCTGTCAACAGCCAACAGTCCCAGGCACCCACTGGCTCCTCCCTGTTTCCAGCTACTCGCTGGCCCTCTTCCTCGTTCCCAGCTACTCGCTGACCCTCTGTCCCGTCCCCAACTACTCGCTAACTCCTTGCCCTGCCACCAGCTGCTCGCTGACCCTCTGCCCCGTCCCCAGCTACTCGCTGACTCCTTGCCCTGTCACCAGCTGCTCGCTGACCCTCTGCCCCGTCCTCAGCTACTCGCTGACGGGCGCCGACGCGGCGCTGTTCTCGCTGGCCGCCGACACGGGCTCGCTGCGCCTGCTGCGCGGTGAGACGGTGCCGCCGCTGGCCAACGTGACCGTGCACGCGTCGGACGGGCCGCACCGCGCCGCCGCCCTGGTGCTGGTGCGCAGCCGCCAGGTGGCCAGTCGTGGCCTGGTGTTCTCCAGCGACCAGTTCTACGGCACCGTGCGCGAGAACACGACTCGCGTCGACATCGTGGCCTCGCTGTCCGTGCGGGGCAACCAGCTGATGGAGCACCTCGCCTTCCGCATCCTCAACCCCTCCGAGTACTTCGTGAGTGATGGCGCGAGGTGGTGGTGGTCCGAGCATTTGGTATAACCGACGGCTTTTAGTGGGTGTCGTGTCCAGTGTGTATGTCCAGGGTGGACGCTGCTGGTCCGTATATCTCGCTGAGAGGCGATGTCTCCTGGCCTTGCGACACATTGGCAAAACGTGGCTACTAACATCGACCCTGTAGGCTTATGCGGTGCGACGTAGTAGCGCTTGTAAATGCTGTCGACGTTTGTGGGTTCTGGAAGGTGCTTTTTGGAATCAAGTTTCTGCTCATCTGAGCATAAAGCCGACAAGCACTGATTAGTCGTTCGTTCCGGGGTAACGAAGTCCTTGTCTATAAGATGCTGGCTCTCTAGCGTTGCCTCTGAACATTATATGATGCCTATTGTCGGGGGCTTTTCGACGCCGGACAACTGGGGTAAATGATCCAAGGGGCGCCGTTTTAAACGTCGCTGATGCCGCAAAACAACTCTTGAAGCGCCCGGTGTGAGGTATGGGTGGTGTTTGGACAGAGCTAACTTGCACATCCGAGCAGATCATTCGCCAAGGTTTTACATTTATGTGAAGCATTACGACGCTGTTCCGCACCGCCACCACACCGGGCTCATAGACTCCTCACTGCACTCTTATGCCCGCACCGTTCAGTGACCTGCCCTGAGCATGACTTGGTTGGGAACTGTGTGTCGACGTTTTATTATCGTTACGATCCCATTCATCCCATTAGCCTGTGCGGCCTCAGTTTTGCACTTTGGTTGATAACGGCTTTACAGCCGGCTACTGCAGAATATTAACCAGCTGAATCCTCGAACGCTGAATATGTTTTCGTAGTCGTGACGCGGAATCTGACTGACTCGCCATAGTTACCACTGGCTTTGGCGGGAAAATCTCCCGCGAATTGTACTGGCGGGTTCCATGGCTTCAAGGTCAAATTGTCCGCCGTTCTGGGAGGAGCGTTTCTGATGGGTCGAAGCGCTCCGTGGTCAGTCCATTCTGTGCCATCTGCTTTTCCAATAACGGTGGCTTTCATCTAGTCTGATAGCATATTAACGAGTCAGCTCCGCCTATACAGTTGTATGGACAGCCTTTGAACCAGTCCATCCCACCGTGTAACAAGACGGCGGGCGCTGTTCGGAACTGTCTCTCTGTGAGTGATCCTCTTGTGACGGTGTCCCCCACAGAGCATCAGCGAGACGGCTGGCGTGGTGCGCACCACGGGTGTGGCGCTGGACCGGGAGCAGCAGGAGCAGCACGTGCTGGCCGTAGAGGTGCGCAGCGACAGGGACGGCCGGGTGGCGCACACGCTGCTGCACGTGACCGTCATGGACGACAACGACAACCGGCCCGTGTTCGTCAACCAGCCGTATCACGCCGTCGTGCCCGTCGAGGCCACCGTCGGAGCTCCGGTCACCAAGGTGAGAACACTGAGTGGGGCTGGCTGGTTTCTACTGGTCGGAGCTCCAGTCACCAAGGTGAGAACACTGAGCAGGAGCTGTCTGGTTACTACTGGTCGGAGCCCCAGTCACCAAGGTGAGAACACGGAGCAGGGGCTGGCTGGTTACTACCGGTCGGAGCTCCGGTCACCAAGGTTAGAACACTGAGTGAGGCTGGCCTGTTATTACTGGTCGAAGCTCCGGTCACCAAGGTGAGAACACTGAGTGAGGCTGGCCTGTTATTACTGGTCGAAGCTCCGGTCACCAAGGTGAGAACACTGAGTGAGGCTGGCCTGTTATTACTGGTCGAAGCTCCGGTCACCAAGGTGAGAACACTGAGCAGGGGCTGGCTTGTTGCTACTGGTCGAAGATCCGGTCACCAAGAGGAGAACACTGAGCAGGGACTGCCTGGTTCCTACTGGTCGGGGCTCCGGTCATCAATGTGAGAACACTGAGCAGGGACTGGCTGGTTACTACTATTCGGAACTCCGGTCACCAAGGTGAGAACACTGAACAGGGGCTGGTTGGTTACTACTGGTTGGAGTTCCGGTCACCAAGGGGAGAGCAGTGAGCACGGGCTGGCCTGTTACTACTGGTCAGAACTCCGGCCACCAGCGTGAGAACACTGATGAGGGGCGGGCTTAATGCAATGCAAATGTAATAATGTCACCCGTAAATAGCATGCCGTTACGCGCGATGCCGTGATATGACGCGACATTTGGCGCGTCACTCCCCGCCGTCGTGCGCCACTCTGTGACGCGCCGGGGTCGCAGGTGACGGCGATCGACGCTGACCTGGGCGACAACGGCCGGGTACACTATGACCTGCTGCGGGGTAACGGTGACCTGTTCGCGGTGGACCTGCTGAGCGGGGCTGTGACGCTGCGCCGCTCGCCGCGCGGCCTCGACACCGCCTTCAGGCTGGTCGTCACTGCTTACGATGGAGGTGGGTGGTGACGGGATGGCATCCTTGTTCGGCCGCTGCGCCCGTGGCGGGGTGTGCGGCACAATGGTATGTTGTGGTTGGCTGGCTTAGCTACACGTGCCGTGATATGGGCCATTGTTTTACAATTAGATTCAGTGGCGCCTTCGCCGTCTTACTAGGCTGGGCCAGCAGTCTAGTTCAGCGTTAGAGGCAATAGAGGTTGGTTTAGGTAGGAAGTGAGTCTCAGGTCGAAGGGCAAGCATGCAAGCTTAGGGTGAATCCCATGTATTATGAGCCTATTTTGATATTTTTTAGTTGATGCTCTTGTTCTACGTAACATTTGCAATCGTTGCTGAAATACGAATTTTGCGCTCAAAAGAGCGAATCACATGGACATGCTTCAGTACAAATGTGATGTCTTTAGCCGTGCCACTGTGTCGCAGACTGAAGTTGATGGTCGGACCTATTCAATATTCAGCTCGGTCGTCATCTGATTGTGTGCGCCGTTTGCGGCGCTGATTGATTCATGGGGAATCCCAGCTGCCTTGGCTGGAAAGCGCTGCCATTTGTCACTGGATGGGGACTGCATTAGCCGGCTTTGATTTATCGGAGTCGACAAACGCGCCACCCGTATCCCGGCTGCTGCTGAACCACTGACGTGCCCCAATATTTCAGTCTGACTGCTTATCGACCCCCGTGCGCCATTGTAGTCGCCTTGTGCCGACTCAACGTTTGTTTCGAGTGGCTTGTACTCTACGCTTGCGGCGTGTGGTCCGTTTACGCCGGCGGGTTTTACGAGCGGCTGACGCGTATCGAGCAAAGCGTCATATCAGGCGACGCTGTGAGAAATAGTCTTACATATCATACAGTCCACAGGGTGCTCAATTGTGATCCAAGATGCTTTGCTCGTCGCCATGTCAGGCATGCGTCAAATCCAACTGTACGCTGACATTGTCTGAAATGATAAGACAGGCGAGAAAGCTTCAGTGGTTAGATCACGGCTAAAGAGAGCGTTCCGCATTTCTATGAGGCTTTGCACTGAACTAGCCATCCTGAGAGGTCATTAGGTGCATTTCACAGCCCTGCCCTTTTGAAGACCTAAATCTAATCTAAAACCTAGTTCCTGAGCTACACGCCCGCGATTACGGGGAGAATATTTCAAATGGAAGAAAAGAAAGTGGAGACCTTGAAATACCCTCCACTTTCGGGGAGAGTATTTCGAGGTTACAGGTATCCATGATGTCATAAGAACGTCATTCAAATTATGCCATTCCATATGTCATGTGGTGATCAATGCCAAGAAAACTATAACGGTCCAGCCATTCATATGTAGCGTTCGGGAGCACGATTTTCAGATATAGCGGCCGTCAATTGGCTCTCAGTCAGTGTTGTGCGAGGTATGATAATGTCATCAAACAATGACGTATCGAGGAACATATTTACTAATCAGAACTTGTGCTGTGGTGAGTAGTCATATCTGTTTAGAAGTGTACCAATAGTTCTAAGTGACCGTGTTGTATCATATCTGATGTTCGTTTCAGTATCTTCAAACATGAAACATACCTTCAAACGTCTACAAATATGATGCAGAGGTTGCGTGCTAAGCATTCAAACATGCAGCCATAGTTCCTAGGGCTCCTCAGCTCAGAAAGAATGCCCAGCATGACCATACGGGGGCTGAACGAAGAAAACCTTTCCCGTGTGCAGCGGCGGTAGCTGTCGACAAGTATGACGCATTCAGCAGATAGGAGCCGTCGACCGATGCGCGGTTACAGCATGGGCCAGTGCGCGTGTCCGACGCCCGTAAAACACATTGAGAACACAGTCGATGTGGCGGATTGTCGTTCGGTGCGTTCTGCTGCGTGGTAGAAGCAGGGCAGATGCCAGGCTGAGCCGCCATGGCCATCCAGAACTCAGCGCTGGGAAGGTTATTCTCTGCTGATTTGATTCAGGTTAGATGGTGTAAATTGAGGCTAAATTGTGCAACCTTTAGCTCGGCTCCACGACTTCTTGATGCGGTATGACATACAGAGCTCCGGTTGTGACGGTGGTTGTTCTTTCGACAAGCTTTCCTCCCCTCTCCTCGGAGGCGGAGGTGCTGGTGACACTGTGTCCGTCTCTGTGACAGGCTCTCCTTCCCTCTCCTCGGAGGTGCCGCTGGTAACGCTGTCCGTCTCTGCGACATGCTCTCCCCCCCCCCCCCATCTCCTTGGAGGTACCGCTGGTGACACTGTGTGTCCGTCTCTGTGACAGGCCCCCGTCCCCTCCCCTCTCCTCGGAGATATCGCTGGTGACACTGTGTGTCCGTCTCTGCGACATGCTCTTCTTCCCTCTCCTCGGAGGTACCGCTGATGACACTGTATGTCCATCTCTGTGACAGGTACCACGCCCCTCCCCTCTCCCCATAGGTACCGCTGTTGACGATGTGTGTCTATCTCTGTGGCAGGCTCTCGTCCTCTCTCCTTGGAGGTACCGCTGGTAACACTGTCCGTCTCTGTGGCAGGCTCCCCTCCCCTCCCCTCGGAGATACCGCTGGTAACACTGTGTGTCCGTCTCTGTGGCAGGCTCCCCTCCCCTCTCCTCGGAGGCGGAGGTACTGGTGACAACCGTGGACGGCAGTCAGCCCCGCTTCTCCCAGCCGCACTACTGGGCCCACGTGGCCGAGTCGGCCGAGCGGCGCACGCCCGTGCTGACGCTGGAGGCGGCCGCCCCGTCCGCCTCCAGCCTGGTGTTCCAGCTCACAGAGCCGGCCGTCGACTCCATGTTCGACGTAGACTTCACCACCGGTGTGTATCGGACAGGCACATACATGGCCACCTGAAAAGGCCGGCACACGCCGCTGGTGCCTTTTGAAGTACTTTGGGTTAGTTGAGGTGTTGTGACAGAGCGTTTGTCGTAGTTCCGAAACTGTCGAGCCCATCAGGAGGATACGCGTCATCAGTGTCTGGAAAGTCACCACCCGGGGAAGTTGGCCAAACCCGTCCTGGGCAAACTGCAAGAGTATCGACTCATGCGCGATGCCGCAGGCGTTCTGTACGTGGCTGGTGAGCTGGACTACGAGACCCGGCCGCGCTACAAGCTGACGGTGTCGGCCACGGACCGGGTCACGGGGTCAATGACCTCTGTGCCGGTCACGGTGAACGTCACGGACGTCAACGACAACGCGCCTCAGTTCGAGCGGTCGGTTTACAACGTGACGGCCAGCGAGGCGGCCCACCCCGGCCTGAAGCTGCTGCGCGTGAAGGTCACGGACCGGGACCAGGGTGAGGACCACTGACCAGGGAAGGGATCACGGACTGCGATAGGGATGAGGACCACTGACCAAGGGAAGGGATCACGGATCGGGACCAGGGTGAGGACCACCGACATAGGGAATGGTCTTGGACCGGGACCAGTGTGGGGACCACCGATTAAGGGAAGGGATCTTGGACTGTGTTAGGGGTGGGGACCAGCAACCAATGGAAGGTTTGCTCACATTGTTTTCGTATCTTTGTCGCATAGATTATTTGCGGGACCGTAGGAAAGCGGACAGGAACTGCTGCGAGACCTGTCAACCCAAATGTTTCATTCAACAGCTCCATTCTTGTAAATGGCTGAGCCGTACAGGCCTGCCATACCAAATATTTGAAAAGAATACTCCATTTAAATTAATGACTGAACCTTGCAGGTAGTTTCGAACTCATTACGCTCCCACGTGCTGTTCTTAATCTACATTGCTGAAGCTCGGTAGTCCAATAGGTCGGTCAGAATGTGCTGGTGAATAAGAAGCCTCCGTCGCTGGGCGGGCAATGTAATCAGGGGTTCGGTGTCTGGACACAATCGATCAGTCTCGGGTGGCTGGGCGGCGGCCCGGCCCTGAACGGCGGCTCCGTCCAACGGACAATGTGTCAAACAAGACTGGGCTCCTGCCAAAGGGTGTTTCTGATTGGATGTGAAGCGTTGGCCAAGATGAGTGGTGATGATAAAAGCGTGCCTTTCGTCGTGAGTGTACGTCATTAGCAGGAGCTGTGTTTTATGGTGTTACGTCCGCACCTCTTAACTGTGTCTGGCAACCCGTGTTTCTAAATGCTGAACTCCAGAAAGACACCTCGTGCTGTGTCTTGTGCTGCCCACGCGCGTATATATGTGCTTTGACGATGCCGCGTGTGCTTGCCTAATGCTAACCGCGCCTGTGTTTGTCGTCCAGAGGACGACCAGCCGCTAAGCTTCCGTGTCCAGGAGGCGGACGGCTCGGAGAGCTTCCTGTTCCACATGACGTCCGACGGCTCCCTGGCCGTCACCAGCTACCTGGACTTCGAGCAGCGGCCGCTGCACCAGCTGGTGATGACCGTCTCCGACGACGGCTCGCCGCCGCTCACTGGCACCGCGCTGCTCACCGTCAACGGTGAGAACACGCCGCTCTCCCGACACGGGGTGACGTCACTGGCCGGCGGCGTTCGGTGCTCACCGTCAACGGTGAGAACACGCCGCTCTCCCGACACGGGGTGACGTCACGGGCCGGCAGCGTTCGGTGCGAGCTGTCGTCTTCGCCGCCAGCAGCTGTTAGTGCGGCGCACAGTGGCAGTGCTCTCTGGGCATTGTCTCGCTGTTAACGTCGCGGAACTCCGTACAAGTCTTCATTCTTGGGATGCATCAACCACCTCATTGTTGCAAAACACTGCGTCCACCGTCGTCTTTTTGTAGTAGCTGAAGCCAAGGTCGACAGTAACTGTCGAGGGCGCCGAACGCAGCTGCCACCGACCAACTGTTGGTCGGTGGCGCTGCGTTCGTCGTCGACAGTTGGTTTTAAGGCGGTGATCATCATTAGTAGGTTTCGTGGTACTGGTCATTAGGGGTTTATCTTCAACCGGCCGGCGGCGGGTCCCACAGTGCTCATGTCCGAGACACGATAGTTGTAAATTACTTCATCTGAGCGTGAAGCGCGTAAGTCAAGATCAGTTGGATCGAAGTCTTAGCGGTCTGTACACTGTTGTTCCGTGCTGTGCTGTTGGTCTTTAATTGATAGGTTACTGTCGGCTCGACAAAACGCTGGTTAGTCTTGCCCTGGCTACAGGCCGCGTTGAAGATGCCCGTGTAATACGCCGAACAGCGTGCGTCAGAACATTCGCGAGGGCGAGACACTGGATGTGACTGTTGGCCGAAGTGAGCCGGTTGTAGTGAACCTCGCGATCGCGCACGTCCGCGAGATCCGGATGGTTGATGGGCCGTCAGAGTGGACTTCTGCGCGGAGGTCCGGCTCGAAGAATGAATCTCCGATGGCCATAGTGGGCTGCTGACTGGTCTGGGACCTAGTTTTGTTCCCGACGCCACTTCACGGAATCAGTCGATAGTCAGAGTAGCCAGAATGACGCGCTGCCGGACCTGTGTCTCGCGACGGCTGACTGACAAAGTTAGACGGCCGGGCTCGGCGAACTTCTCTCGTCGGAAGCAGCAGGCCGGGCTGGACCAGCGGCCGGACAAAAATCCTCCGGCTCAGGTCGGCCCCGGCGGAATAGTGGCACACCTGGTGCCCCTGACCATATTGAATATGTCACGGCGGATGCAATGACGTCCCGAGGCGCGGACCATGCGCAGGTCGTCACACGTGGTTTGTGAGCAGTGGCTTGGGGGTGTGCGCCGGCTAGCCCTTGATAGCTCCATAGCGGTCCCCGTGGCCACCCGCCACCCGCCACCCGCCACGCGCCACGCACCATGCACTATGCACTACGCACCACGCGCCACTCGCCACGCACCACACGCCACCCGCCACGCGCCACGCGCCACGCGCCACACGCCACACGCCACATGCCACACGCCACATGCCCCACGCCACACGCCACACGCCACACGCCACATGCCACACGCCACATGCCACACGCCACACGTCACATGCCACCTGCGACAGAGCCGTCGCATTGGCGAAGTCTGCTTGACTTTACCTCTCATCGCGATAGGAGCTATATATTGGGCGCTAGGCGGCCACAATGGGGGCGCTGTAATGTCCAAATGCCAAGCCGTTTTGCTTTTGTCTACCAGAGCACCGGTGATCCGCAGCCCATCGCCCGTGCGGGGGTGATAGCGATCTGAGATCGGTCTCATTTGTCCCATGCACACGTTACACAGCCCATTCACGCACTGACCGGCCCCGCTCTGGAACAGACTGTCCACGACCAACGGCGCTGCTAGAAACCGAGAGCACCTGGGGATACGCTGACGCGTGGGTGACCCGCGTGTTTCTTCGGTGTTGAGCATGTCCACCATGCGGCTGTTGCTGGAATCAAATGACACATTCATCGTCCCGCCTGTATTGTTGTTACATGAACTTCAGTGGCTTACCCGGACGTCCTGGTGTCTGCCTGTTGACAGTGGAGGACGTGAACGACAACGTGCCGGTGTTCGACCGGGCCAGCTACGCGTGCGAGCTGACGGAGCTGCCGTCTCGGGGGCAGTTTGTCACCATGGTGAAGGCGCACGACCCGGACCCCACCGACCAGCTCGTCTACCGCATCGCTGACGGCAACGACCGCCAGCTGTTCTACATCAACAGGCGCACAGGTAAATGGCAGGGACAGTACAGTCACGGGCGCACAGGTAAATGGCAGGGACAGCACAGTCACGGGCGCACAGGTTAGTGGCAGGGACAGTACAGTCACGAGCGCACAGGTGGATGACAGGGACAGTATAGCCACGGGCGCACAGGTAAATGGCAGGGACAGTATAGCCACGGGCGCACAGGTTAGTGGCAGGGACAGTGCAGTCACGAGCGCACTGGTAAGTGACAGGGACAGTATAGCCACGGGCGCACAGGTAACTGGCAGGGACAGTACAGTCACGTTCGCACAGGTAAATGGCTGCGACAGTACAGTTACGGGTGCACAGGTAACTGGCAGGGACAGTACAGTGACAGGCGCACAGGTAAATGGCAGGGACAGTACAATCACGAGCACACTGGTAAATGGCAGGGACAGTACAGTCACGGGCGCACAGGTAAATGGCCGCGACAGTACAGTCACGTTCGCACAGGTAAATGGCTGCGACAGTACAGTCACGAGCACAATGGTAAATGGCAGGGACAGTACAGTCACGGGCGCACAGGTAAATGGCTGCGACAGTACAGTCACGTTCGCACAGGTAAATGGCTGCGACAGTACAGTCACGAGCACACTGGTAAATGGCAGGGACAGTACAGTCACGTTCGCACAAGTAAATGGCTGCGACAGTACAGTCACGGGTGCACAGGTAACTGGCAGGGACAGTACAGTGACAGGCGCACAGGTAAATGGCAGGGACAGTACAGTCACGGGCACACTGGTAAATGGCAGGGACAGTACAGTCACGTTCGCACAGGTAAATGGCTGCGACAGTACAGTCACGAGCACACTGGTAAATGGCAGGGACAGTACAGTCACGGGCGCACAGGTAAATGGCTGCGACAGTACAGTCACGTTCGCACAGGTAAATGGCTGCGACAGTACAGTCACGAGCACACTGGTAAATGGCAGGGACAGTACAGTCACGTTCGCACAAGTAAATGGCTGCGACAGTACAGTCACGGGTGCACAGGTAACTGGCAGGGACAGTACAGTGACAGGCGCACAGGTAAATGGCAGGGACAGTACAGTCACGGGCACACTGGTAAATGGCAGGGACAGTACAGTCACGGGCGCACAGGCAGAGGCAGGCTCACTATATGGGCTGCGCTCAGGTAGGCGGCAGACTCACTATATCGACCAGTGTTCAGGAAGGCGTTAGGTTCACAGCACCGGTGGCTGTCCGAGAAGGCGGCAGGTTCACATTACCGGCAGGTACGCAGATAGGCGACAGGTACTCCGTCTCCAAGTCTGGCCCTAGCAAACTCACGGGGTTTAGAGCAAATCCAATGAAGCGATGTCACTCAGGAGGGAATGGAACAGTGTCGGTCGCGGAGAAGCTGGGCGCAGCATTCAAAGACGGTAGGCGAGGATCCAAGGCGCGGTCTGCACAGTGTCGGGCCGTGACCGGTCTCATCCCACAATGTGAACGCCCAATGCCGGCTTGTGGCGCAGTACCTTGTATTAGTATTAGGTGTGTCATTCGCTCATATTAGCTGGCGGTGACGGCGGCGATTAATTTAATTATCTTGTTACGAGTCAGCGGTACCTGCACCGCCTGAGATTTCCTCCTTGGCTGGTGCTCTGTCGCGTGCAAGTCCAGAGACTCTAGCTCTCTTCGCATGTCACTGAGTGTCGCTTTCCGTGCGGCCTAGTGAGGTAGACACAAACCCCTGTGGTGTTCAGAGCGGGAGGGGCAGCTCGGTTTCAGAGCTTCAAACGCAGCCGCGTCAATGACAGAATGGTAGAGCGGTTCGTCGTTTGATTAATTGCGCTGAATTCCCCGAGAGCACCTCCATCGAACTCGACACGATGCCGTCCGGTGGAGTAATGGCTGCAGCGGTGTTCTCAGTCCAGTGCGATGGCGCATTGGGTGGCTCCGTGGATGGGTTCACTCATCCACGTAACTGCTGGAAGTTGATTGACGCATTATCCACGCGCCATATGACCAGCGTAGTCGGTGCGCCCCAAAGCCCAAATCATCATCATCATCGACGCAGTATCCACGGAGTCAGATGCGAGTAAACGCTGCACCCGTACCTCCCTGGTGCACCCTGGCGCACCCTGCACCTCCGTTGGTGTATTTGCCTGATTGCACGTCGGCCGTCTTATCACAGCCACATGATATTATTCTGTACAAAACCAGTTACGGTGAGCGGCGGTGATCCGTGCTGGACTCAATCTCTTGAGGCATGCCGATGCCGATACAGCAATACGACCGCTGGACACTGTCGGTCGAAGCTCAGAACTGTGTGCTAACACGTTCTGAAAACGGTACAACACTTTCGGTAAGACAGGTTAAAATACATGGGCGAGGATCCATAAACTTGGACGATGCTTTCTTACGACTTGAAGGAACCGTGTGGCAAAGGGATATTGGGCGAGTTATGAAGCGTGCTGGACCCAGTCTGTACCACCGTGGTGGGGCGGGGAGCAGCGGGCTGGGTTTGGCAATGACTCGAGAGTGCGCTGCTCACGGCTCTCTCAACACTGCCCTGCCTGCTGAGGGTGGCTCGCAGGTCGGGCCTCGGAGGATGTGGGTCGGTGCCGCCGCGGTGTCGACGGTGACTGACGCGTCACGTTTGTCTCGGCGCCGCGGCTGTGACGGCTCCTCCGTATAACGCCCGAGATGAATGCCCGCTCGCCGTAATGCGGACCACAGCTGGCTGATGGCTGTCATCAGCGTGCAGACCGTGACCCTCCTCCGTACCGGTGCCGTGTGAGGGGAACGTGACGCGTCACTCTGTGTCCTGCCATCATCGTGCGGACCGTGACCCTCCTCCGTACCGGTGCCGTGTGAGGGGAATGTGACGCGTCACTCTGTGCCTCCCGCAGGCGTCATCACGGTGGCCAATATCCGGGCGTTCGATGAGTCGCCCCAGTACCAGCTGAACATAACCGCCGCCGACGGTATTCACCACACCTACGTGCCCCTGACGGTCCGACTGATGCCCGCTAACAAGGTGACTGCCGCTCAGAAGCGCCCCTGCAACAACAGTGTATCACACGTGCAATATGATGACAGCGGTGCTGCTGGCTGGCCGAGATAATGTCGCGGGCCGTCAGTTTAGTGTGTGCCTTGGAAGGCCGGGCTTGAAGGGTCTTGCATCAAGTTGTCATCGATTGAACGCGCTGGCGTGTTGTCTCAACATAGACCCGCCACGCACTGGAATGCTCTTCCCTTCCAGCATGCGCCCGCATTCGAAAAGGTCGCCTACGAGGTGGACCTGAGTGAAGACGTGGCCAGCGGCACTCCGGTGACCCAGGTCAAGGCGTATGACCCAGACAGGGGTCCCCTGGGTCAGGTGGTGTACAGCATTCCCTCCGATCGATGGAGAGAAGTATTCAGCATCAACGCTTCAACCGGTGAGTGGCTGTCATCCTTCCGTTAGAAGGTCCTGTCACAGATTTCCGATATCACGTCTGGTCATTTTTAGGGAATGTAGTTCTCAAGAGGAATCGAACACCTTTATTTGCATTGCAATCGTTCCGGATATTTTCGAAAGCTCTGGGGCATGGCGGAACCCACCCGCTGCTCGGAATGGGGTTAACGGAGAGCACGACCGGAATAAGGAGTAATTGGCTACTTCCATAGGTTGCGAGACAGCCCGGTGCTGAAGCTTCCCGTCTGGACTGGTGCTGTGTTATGTACAGGCGTGATCAGCACCCCTCAGTGGCTTGACCGTGAGATGGAGCCGGTGCTGGAGCTGCCCGTGTGAACTGGTGCTGTGTTGTGTACAGGAGTGATCAGCACCCGTCAGCGGCTGGACCGTGAGACGGAGCCGGTGCTGGAGCTGCCCGTGTAAACTGGTGCTGTGTTGTGTACAGGTGTGATCAGCACCCGTCAGCCACTGGACCGTGAGACGGAGCCGGTGCTGGAGCTGCCCGTGTGAACTGGTGCTGTGTTGCGTACAGGCGTGATCAGCACCCGTCAGCGACTGGACCGTGAGACGGTGCCGGTGCTGGAGCTGCCCGTGTGGGCCACGGACGGTGGTCACCGGTCTGATCACACCACAGTCAAGGTCCGGCTGTCGGACGTCAACGACAACGCGCCCCGCTTCCAGCTGGCTCAGTACCGGGCCGTCGTGGCGGCCAACCTCACGGCCGGAGACGTCGTCTGCAAGGTGAGTATGAGCCTGCCGCCGGCTGAATGTCAGCTACCGGTACAAGGTGAGCATGAGCCTGTCCCCCGGCTGGACGTGTGTCGACGCCCAGTATAAGGTGAGTCTGAGCTTGTCCCCGGCTGGACGTGTGTCGGCGGCGGTGGACCGTGCTGACACTGAGGTGTTGGACCGTTCCGTCACCTGTGGCTCGTGTGGCTAGCGATCGGCCAATGACCTCACGGGTACCATGTCGCTCGCCACCGCCATGGCCAAGAAGCTCACTATGACCATGTATTTTGCGACCGTGGTGGTCGGGTGTGACTTGTTTCTTGTATTTTCATTGGTCGGCGGTCCGCCAGGTGACGGCGTACGACTCGGACGAAGGAGATAACGCCAGGCTCACGTACAGCATCTTCGAGACGGAGGTGTCGGACATCAGGAAGGCCTTGGATATCGATTCGGAGACGGGAGAGATCATTCTGATGCAGCGACCAACTCAGCTGGGTGAGCCGGTTCACCTGCTGGTTGAAGCCGCAGCTAGAGCTTTGGTTGGGAACTGTCTTTTCGTGTTTTACTCAAGAACTGTCGCGGACGTTGTCCATACTTAGCTGAGTGGGTTGGAATGTTGCATGTTTAAGCACGCCTGCGCTGTCTTCGATCAGACAAAAAGCATTTCTCGCTAACCGGTCCTCGTTGCGCGGCGTAGCTGGTGACCGGTGGCGCCTCTGTTGGCAGAGAGTCCGGTGTACCAGTTGTTCGTGCGAGCGACAGATGGCGGCAGTGAGCGGCTGGTGGCCGACGTCCCAGTGGACGTGGTCGTGTTGCCAGACAGCGAGGGCATGCCCGTGTTTGACCCGCTGCTGTCGGGGCCACAGGGCGTGTTTCTCACCGAGAGTGACCCAGTTGGTGAGTAACCGAGACCCCATGCAGACAGCAATACGATGCCTGTGTTTCACCTGTTACTGTCGGGACCACAGGGCGTGCTTCTCACTCGGAGTAACCCGATGGGTGAGTAATGCAAGCCTGCCTGAATACAGCAGGCATATTAGACGTGTTTGAATACATGTTTTCTTCTAGGCAAGCCTGCCTTGCTTGAATATTTATCACCCTCTTCAGCTGTGGCTAAAGTAGCAAGTTTGACCTTTGAATGGGGGCCTTGTAACAGTGTGCCTGTCCCAGTGACGTATGTCCGGTTATTCCGCAGGTACCCGCATCACGTCAGTCCGGGTCCGCGGCGGCGGTACGGTGACGTACTCGGTGGCCTCGATCCACGAGATGCCGTCAGCGGACATGTTCGAAGTGGATGCGGACGGACAGCTGGTCCTGGCCAAGAGTCTCGACCGGGAGGCCGTGGATAGGTTGGTCAAGCAGCTGCAGACTTCGGGTCCAGGGAATGGCGTTGTTGCAGCTTTGTGTGGCCTCGGCTCTTGCGCATGTTCTCACTGACTTGATAATATATGTTATCACATTTCGGTTCCTTGTTCTGTGCGATATCACCGGCGCATTAAAACAGTACATTGCTCTATTGCCCGCAGTTTCACTCGACTTCGTTTTATGCGAGGCTGTACATAACTGGGACAATATCCATTCACAGTTAAAGTGTGTCACAAACTTCGTCGCCATTGTAGCCTTACGGCGCTTTCACCTGCCCGGAGTAAATGGTGTCGCCCGCCTCTCATCCTGTCCTGAAAGGAGGTCACTGCGGGGAAGGAAACCTTCCACCTCTGGTTTCCCAGACGCGCAGTGGTTAACACAGGCGCATTAATCATTACACCATCAGCACTCCCTTATTGTGTGTGTAAACCGCGCTGCATTGCCGTGCCTGATGTTCTGTTCCGTTGCGTCAGGTACAACATCACGATCGCAGCTCAGACCGAGTCTCTGCCACCGCTGGTCGCCTACTCCCACCTGATGTTGTCTGTGATGGACGACAACGACAACGACCCCGTGTTTGACGCAGACGTGTACCGGGGTACCGTCAGAGAGGGTCTGCCGGCCGGTACCAGAGCTCTGCAGGGTACGTCAGAGGTGTACCGCGGTACCGTTAGAGGTAGTCTGCCGGCCGGTACCAGGGCTTTGCAAGGTACATCAGACGTGTACCGCGGTACCGTTGGAGAGGGTCTGCCGGCCGGTACCATAACTCTGCAGGGTACGTCAGAGATGTACGGGGGTATTGTTAGAGAGGGTACCGTCTTTTACCAGGTTTATCAGTTCTGTGTGGGGCTAGCTGTGTGCCCCCCTCTCCATTGCATCAGTGTTGTGTGCTCGTGTGTGACCTGGCTGCGCCCGTCCCCAGTGTCGGCGGTCGACCCGGACGTGGGTGCTAACGGCCAGGTGCGCTACCAGCTGCACGCCGACTCTAGCCACCTGCACGCACTGCTGGCGGTGGACGAACGGTCTGGCTGGGTGACCACGCTGCGGCCGCTGGACCGCGAGACGACAGACACCTACCGGCTGACGGTGGTGGCCGCCGACGGAGGTAACTAGGGATACCGCACAATGCAGTCGGAACGCCACAGAGCATGCATGGAACGGGGAGTGCGTTGCGGAGGCTGGTGGTGATCGTCAACTATACGATTCACTAGAGGGGGACTTGTGAGGTTGGTTTGAGACCTGTGACCTGAGTGACCTGACCCGGTGTGCCCCGCCAGGCTCACCTCGTCGCTCGGCCACGGCCAGTCTGGTGATCTCGGTGGCCGACGACAACGACTCGCCGCCCGTGTTCGCTCAGCAGCGGTACGCGGCCGTCGTTAATGAGGACGCCCTGCCGCGCACCTCCATCATGAGCCTGACGACCGATGACGCCGACCTGCTCTCGGCGCCCGTCCACTTCTACATCACCGACGGAGACCCCCACGCCCGCTTCGAGGTCAGAGCACGCCCGCTCAGCGGTGTCAGTGGTGGTACAGGCGCCCAGTGGCGTGCTGGTGGCGTTACAGACCCCCCTCTGGCGTGTTAGTGGCATTACAGACCCCTCTGGCGTGTTAGTGGTGGTGCATACCCCCCTCCGGCGTGTTAGTGGTATTACAGACCCTCTCTGGCGTGTTAGTGGCGTTGCAGACTCCCTCTGGCGTGTTAGTGACGCTAGAGACCCGCTGCGGTGTGTTTGCCGCGTTATGGACACCTCACTGGCGTGTGCGCACCCTCTTTAAGCTGTGACTAACAGTGTTCAACAACTGCTCGCGTGGTAGTAAGATCCCGGCAACGTGTGGTCCTTGTGTTCTAATTGTGACGGGCTACGCCTGGGTGATATGAAGCTCTCCGCTGGTATTGCACAAAGCCCCTAGATTGTGACGAGCGGCGTCACCAGAGATGTGACTCTCCCCCACTGACGAACGTGCACATGGTCCCCAGATTGTGACGAGCGGCGCCAACAGCGGCGAGCTGTTCGTGTTAAACGCGTTGGACCGTGAGACCGTGCCCAGCTACGACCTGACGGTGACAGCCACCGACGGCTCTCTGGTGGCCACCACCCGGCTACACCTGGATGTGCTCGACGCCAACGGTCAGTCTCCTCCGTCAGCACTCAGATGTGCTGACAACGCCTCTAAAGACACTTATCCCCGGGCATAGGCTGGGTAAATATCACCGATTGAGATTGTGTTGGGTTTTTGGCATGGAGGCTCTTTGAGCTTCATGTCTAATTGTGTAACTCAACGTGCGAAGCTGGTGGTTGATGCTTGCTCCGTTGTGTTTTTAACGAAATAGGGATCAAGCTGCAGAACAGTGTGCTGGCTGTGTGGCACCGTTATAAATGCCGTTATCCTAGTCTGGTCATGTCCCGTCCTCATGTGATACAACGTGGCGGCACGTGACCACGCCGTGCGGTGTTCCAGACAACCCACCCGTGTGTGAGGAGGAGGGGTACGCGGTCACGCTGAGCGAGGCGGCCCCTCCCCACCACGTGCTGACCGTCCGGGCTCATGACCTGGACGACAGCAGGAACGGTCGGCTCCGGTACTACCTGACCGGCGGCGGCGCCGACGACTTCGCCATCGACCCGGCCCTAGGTCAGCTGACGGCCGAGCTGTTTCCGATGACGTCATTTGTACCCGGACTGGTTGAAGGAATGGCGAAGCTATCGCTGAGGCAGTCGCTATGTGCGTTGAAGCGTCTTCTAAGTGCGTCTTGTCGTCGATGCCCTCTCACGCTTGGTTTGTCTCTTCACCATTGATACTGCCATGCTGGCCATCAGTTCATGTTCACATGAGGTATTATTGTGTGGCCCTACGTTATGACCGTCGTCTGGTCTGCTTGGCGTGCGTTCTGATGTCGCACCAGGCCGCCCTGACCTGACCTGACCTGACCTGACGCCTTGTGCCATGGCCAGGTCACGTGCGCGTGTCGGGCTCGCTGGACCGAGAGGCCCGGCCCGTCTACCGCCTGACGGCGCACGTGCAGGACCGCGGCCGCGCCGAGTGGGAGTGCACCAGCGTGCTGACGGTCACACTGGAAGACGTCAACGACTGCGCGCCCAGCTTCGTCCTGCCCGTGCTGTCGCTGACGGTGCCCGAGGACACGGCCGTCGGCACCATCCTGGGACGGCTGGACGTCCGTGATGATGACCTGGGTCAGTACAAACGTAGACCACACCATCCTGGGACGGCTGGACGTCCTTGACGATGACCTGGGGTCAGTACATACACAGACCACACCATCATGGTATGGCTGGACTGTAGTCTCATGTTGTTCTTGTGTGTTTCGGTTCAGGCCGGCCGTACTTGGTTTGATACTAGCCTGTCCCCATGCACTCTGCTTGACTTTAATCAGGCAGACTACCCCGGGTGCTGTTCTCAGGCGTGTGTACCGATCTTGGCCACAGACTGACTGTAGGTACTCAGTGTGCCGTTCTCAGGCGTGTGCACCGATCCTGGCCACAGTCTGACTGTAGAGACTGTGCCGTTCCCAGGCCTGTCGGCCGAGCTGGAGTACAGTCTGGTGGAGGAGGACGACGACGATGCCCGGCTGCTGCTGGACCCGAGGACGGGCGTGCTGACTCTGGGACGGCCGCTGGACCGGGAACAGCAGGCCATGTTCAACATCAGCGTGCGAGCCACGGATGGCGGCACACCCCAGCTGTCCAGCACCGCCACAGTCATACTGTTGGTGCAGGGTACGTCTGCCTGTGCTGTGATCAGGGTTACATTCGCTGCACCGCAGCACCGCCACAGCCATACTGCTGGTACAGGGTGCGTCTGCCTGTGTTGTGAGCTGGGTTACATTCGCCGCGGGTGCAGGAAATGTCTTACAGTGTTGTGAGGTACGACTATTTTCGCATCTTTGTTTTAGCTATTGTTCGATATCAGATGATGTATGTATGTTACTATTTTTAGGCTTTTCGTCAAGGCCGACACTTGTTTGGACTGTTCACAGACGTGAACGACAACGCGCCCGAGTTCACCAAAACGTTGTACCACGCGACGGCATTGGAAAACACCACTATTGGGACAGAGGTTCTCAAACTTCTGGCCACCTCGAGGGACTCTGGTGTCAATGCCGAGATCAGCTACAGCATCATTGGCGGCAACGAACACAACATGTTCCAGATCAACCCGAAAACAGGTGCGTGCTTGTCAGCATTCTAGGTGCCTGTGTTGTAGTTCAAGCGGGTATAGGAGTACGTGACGACATCTGTGTGTGCGTTCCGACAGGTATTGTGTCACTGATGTCCCAGCTGGACTTTGAGCGAGCCGGAGAGTACATGGTGACCCCTGTGTGTGTTCCGACAGGTATTGTGTCGGTGATGTCCCAGCTGGACTCTGAGCAAGCTGGGGAATACATGGTGACCCCTGTGTGTGTTCCGACAGGTATTGTGTCGGTGATGTCCGAGCTGGACTTTGAGCGAGCCGGAGAGTACATCGTGACCCCTGTATGTGTTCCGACAGGTATTGTGTCGGTGATGTCCGAGCTGGACTTTGAGCGAGCCGGAGAGTACATGGTGACCCCTGTGTGTGTTCCGACAGGTATTGTGTCGGTGAGGTCCCAGCTGGACTTTGAGCGTACCCGGGAGTACCTAGTGACCCCTGTGTGTGTTCCGCGACAGGTATTGTGTCGGTGATGTCCGAGCTGGACTTTGAGCGAGCCGGAGAGTACATGGTGACCCCTGTGTGTGTTCCGACAGGTATTGTGTCGGTGATGTCCGAGCTGGACTTTGAGCGAGCCGGAGAGTACATGGTGACCCCTGTGTGTGTTCCGACAGGTATTGTGTCGGTGATGTCCGAGCTGGACTTTGAGCGAGCCGGAGAGTACATGGTGACCCCTGTGTGTGTTCCGACAGGTATTGTGTCGGTGATGTCCGAGCTGGACTTTGAGCGAGCCGGAGAGTACATGGTGACCCCTGTGTGTGTTCCGACAGGTATTGTGTCGGTGATGTCCGAGCTGGACTTTGAGCGAGCCGGAGAGTACATGGTGACGGTGGAGGCCCGGGACGGCGGCATTCCGCCGCTCAGCAACCACGCCACCGTCAACGTCACCGTGCTCGACTGCAACGACAACGCGCCGGTGTTCGGGCAGGAGGTGTACAGCGCCGTTATCCGCGAGGACGTGGCCACAGGAGAGCGCCTCCTGCAGGTATGTGCACTGCTGGTGCCGCTGAAAATCTTGTGACGTCACAGAAATGTTTGCTGCCTGGAGCAGCTGGCTGTGAGGTGTACTAAGCATATGGGAGACGCTTATGTTTATTTGTGTGTTCTGTTGAACGTGTGTTGCTGGATCTTTTTCAGTTCTGCTGGTTAGACATTTGCATGTGACCACCACAGTGTAGACCTGTCCGGAGGTGTTGACGTGGTCTGCCGGTGCAGTATCGTGCCGGGTTACCGTATTCGTGCGCCCTGGCCGCTTGCCGGAGAAAATAGAGTAGCAGCGCCTCCAGACAACCGAGCCCGAAGTCACGTCATGAGCCATATTGTGAGCCTGCGCTTACCAGCCGAGAGCCCATACTGATATCTGCCCGACCTGCCCTGTTGGGACGGGTGGGGGAGCCGCGCTGGGAGAGCACTGTGCTGTGGCCGACACAGCGCAGCACGAGATGCGCCGGCTGTGACCTGACCGGCACGCCGCGTCGCCAGGTGCACGCGGCTGACCTGGACTCGGGCGCCAACGCTCGGGTGCGTTACTCGGTGACCGGCGGTGACCAGCACAGCCAGTTTGCCATGGACACCGACTCGGGCTACCTCTATGTCGCCACGCAGCTCGACAGGGAAATGGTGCGTAGGCTGGTGGTTTGGAGCCAAGGCAGTGAGGCCAATTTGAATTTTAATGTGTCTGAATTCGGCGGGGGCATTAATTGTGTTTGTCAGAATCACGAGACGTGTGTTTACCGTAATCGCAAATGTGCTGTTGCACATCGGCAATTTGCTTTGGCACTGAATCAGATGGTATGTGATGCAAAAACTGCAATGGCCAAGTCGATGACTGCGTCTGCAAAGATAAACCACGTCGCGCGGTGGTTTTGCTAGCTTAGAACGCGCCCTGAATGTGCTCATGGTAACACCTCACTGCCGGCTTACGCCTTATTGTTTGGGCCAGGTGTCCAGCTACAGTCTGGAGGTGACGGCGACGGATGGTGGCGATCCCTCGCTCAGCTCCTCCGCCCAGATCAACGTCCACGTCAGCGACGCCAACGACAACCCGCCAGTCTTCTCCGAGACCGAGTACAGCGCCGTCGTGCAGGTCGGCAACGCTTGGGTCACCCGCCGGCGCATGGCTGGGGAACGAACCAGAGTAGATTACCCCAAGTGGTTCAGGGTCAAAGCGAAAGACATTTGTGCGCAAACTGCTGTGATGTTCCCTGTTGTGCGTCTGGGGTCCCAGCAGCCGGTCATAGGCCCGGCGTGTGTGCCGCGACCGGTCGCGGCTGTGATCCGTCCTCTGTTGTTGACAGATAGTCGGAGCCGTCCGCCTTGCTCCTGTCATCAGTTGAAGCCACCTGGCTGGCTTGGGATGTCATTGGGTTACTTCAGGCTTAACTGCCGGCCACCAGCCACCATCGTTTTCTCAGTTGGTCTTTCCTACACTCTCCGCTGGAGATAAGCCGACCAGCCACGAGCTGCCATATTCCACCAGCTGACATCTTGTCTGAAGAGCTCCTCCCTTTCTCGCCGCAGGAGGACAAGCCTCCCGGCCACCCGCTGCTGCTGTTCTCTGTGACGGATGCTGATGAGGATCCGAACGCCGGTCCGTTCACGTTCGAGGTGGCCGAGGGCAACGGCGGCAACTGGTTTGTGATCACGGCCGGCGGCCAGCTGCGCACGGCCGCCAAGTTTGACCACCGGCTGCGCAACTCGTACAAGCTGCTGGTGCGCGTCTACGACAACGGTGATGACGTGCGCTTCTCCGAGACCTGGGTCGACGTCAAGGTCAGTCAAGGCAACATCAGGATGTTCTAATGCAGTGTTGGGGAGGATCTTTGTTTATGCACTGTTGGGCTTGAAGAATTACGTAGCAGATGTTCGTAACGCATTTGGCCATAGACGCACCATTTCTACAGCCATGTGCAACATCCTGAACCGTTCATGAGCTGGAATGCAAGGGGTTTAGCCATTTTCCGACAAATGGTTGGCTATTCGTGTCATGTACGGCACATTATCGAGGAGCTGGGCAGTGGTTTGCCACTGGCCTCATAGGCAACGGAGGGCTGTGACAATCTGCTGACCGTTGACGTGCTGCGTTGCAGATAATCGAGGAGCCGCAGTACCCGCCGGTGCTGATCCCGCTGCACGTGTCGATCCAGTCGTACCAGGACAGCTTCCCGGGCGCCGTGGTGGGTCGCGTGCACGCCTCCGACCAGGACCCGTACGACCGGCTGCAGTTCGGCCTGGTGGCCGGCCAGGCCGGCCTCGAGCGCCTGTTCGAGCTGGACCCGGACGACGGCTCGCTGGTGACGCTGGCCGGCATTGACGCCGGATTGTACCGGCTGAACGTGTCCGTGACGGACGGCAAGTTCACCAGCCACACGGCCGTGACGGTGGATGTGAGCGAAATCACGGACCAGATGGCGCGTCACGCCGTCTCCGTGACGCTGGCCAGCCTCACGCCGCGAGCGTTCGTGCTGAGCTACATGAAGCCGTTCCGGCGCGCGCTGCGCAAGCAGCTGAAGGTGCGCGCTAAGGACGTGCTGATTCTGAGCGTGCAGCCGGCGGCGGCGGGCGGCCGGCGGCGCAGCCGGGCCGCCCGGCCGGCGGACCTGGCCGTGCTGCTGGCCGTGCGGCGCGGCCCGGCCTGGATGGAGGCGGCCGTGGTGCGGCGCCGGCTTCTGGCCGGCCGCGCCGCCGTCAGCCGCCTGCTGGCCGTGCCGCTGCTGGCCGTCGACGAGGACGGCTGCCAGGCGACGCCCTGCCTGCACGGCAACTGCAGCGACGTGGCCGTGTTCGACGACGAGCTGGTGGTGAGCGTGGCCACGGACGTGGTCAGCTTCGTCTCGCCGCAGCACAGCCGCCAGCTCAGCTGCCAGTGCCACGTCGGCTTCGGAGGTCAGTCGGCTTGCTCGCGGCAGCACTGGTGTGCTCGCATGGCCAGCTCTGCTTAGCCGGCTGTGAGCTCAGCAGACGTATTTCGCACACGTTAGTTTCCAATCGCCGTACCGCTAGTTGTAGTGCATTGTGGTGCTGAATTTTTGTGGGAAATGTCGAATGCTGTAGAATATGTGCAGCGGTGTTACGTGTACACGATTAAGACAATGAGCACTCGCCTCTAGTTCGGGGTCGATTAGCTCTCTTGCCTGCCATGATCTTACAGATGACCTGACATTCCTCTCTCTGTGACCTCGGAACCCAGCCGGTGGGCTGTGTTCTGACCTGTGCTCTGGTGGCGGCAGGCGAGCTGTGCTCGGAGCTGGTGAACGAGTGCGGCCGCTCGCCGTGCGCCGAGTACCAGACGTGCGTTCCGGACGCCTCGGCGGCGGGCTTCAGCTGCCGGTGTCCGGAGGGTCGCACGGGCCCCCGCTGTGGCCTGCTCGCCTCCGAGTGCCGCCAGGGCCAGTGCTACACGCCGCGCGCGCCGTTCTCGCTGGATGGCGACGGGTACGCCGAGTACCGGCTGCTGGAGCCGTCCGAGCGGCGCCTCACCCTGGAGCTGAGCCTGCGGACGCGGCAGCCGACCGGCACGCTCGTCTACTCGGCCGGCGGCGTCGAGTACAGCATCCTTGAGGTCAGCGTCTTGTCTGTGCTGATGACAGCTGGAGACACTGCACGAGATAGGGCACAGCACGTCAGGGGTAGCTGGTATAGCATGTTGTGAAGGTTCCGGTAGTGTAGTGGTTAACGCATCTGCGTTAACCGCTACACTACCGCTGCGCGTCAGGAAAACCAGAGGTACGGGGCTCGATTCCCTGCGGTGGCCGCGGTTCCTGCCAGGGTGAGAGGCAGGCGACGCCATATAGCCTCAGCAGCTGAGTGCGTCGTGAAGCCCCAATGACACATACACACACATCGTGTTGTGCAGTCACCGCCGCGTTGTGGCCACGTGGAGAAGCTGACTCAAACATGGCTGAAGCTTTGTCATTTTGGCCGTGACACCCGTCTTGGCTCTGCAGATATTTGATAGTTGTTCACTGTAAACAGCGGAAGTTCCATTGAATATTGTTTGACGTAATGTCGGTGTGATCTCCTTCCATTTGCGTGTTTGCATTTCTGCTGTGCGTTATTTGGGTGCATGATTATGATATCGTGATGGGCCTTTTCGGATTTCAGATTGTGAACGGTCAGCTTCAGTACCGTTTCGACTGCGGCAGCGGCGAGGGGCGCGTCCTGGTACCGGACATGCAGTTCAACGATGACCGGTGGCACAACGTGGTTGTCAAGAGATTCGGCAACAGAGCCGAAGTGCTGGTGGATGGACGCTATGGTGCACAGGTGAGAAGCTCATTATTCCCGGGCTTTGAAAGATGCAGGCGGGCATACAGCGTGTTGTAAACCCGCCTTCTTAAAGACATATCCTGCGGTGTCAATGATGACTATTGGTTGGGGCCGTCACTTCTCGCAGACTTGTGGGCGCTGTATGCTGACATGTAACGTAGCGTTTCCGTTACCCGACACACCAGCGGCGGACTGTTTGTCTGATTGCGTGCCGTGGCTGCAGGGCGCGGCGCCCGGCTTCTACGAGGTGCTGAGCGTGGCCAATGGACTGCTGTTCGTGGGCGCCGTCGTGCGGCCGGCCGGCTCGGACGGCTCGCGCGAGACGCAACGCGGCTTCGCCGGCTGTCTGGACAACCTTCAGCTGGACGGCCACCGGCTGCCGCTGCACGCGCGCGACAGCAGCCGCTCGGCGCGGCTGCAGCAGACGGTGCGTCTGTCGGCCCGCTGCCGGGCCGAGCTGGCCGAGCCGGACGCCTGCGGCCACCAGCCCTGCCTGAACGGCGGCCGCTGCTCGGCGACCGCCGCCGCCGCCGGCGGCTTTAGCTGCGCATGCGCAGTCCGCTTCCTCGGCGAGCGGTGCGAACAGGACACGGACCCGTGCGCCTCGTCACCCTGCCTCCACGGCGGCGTGTGTACCAACGTGGCCGGTGACTACCGCTGCGACTGTCCGGTGCGTCTGTCGGGCCGGCGCTGCCAGTACGGCCTGCACTGCAACCCCAACCCGTGCCGCAACGGCGGCGCCTGCGAGGAGGGCGCGTTCGGACCGCTGTGCAAGTGTCGCGGTTTCACCGGGCCCCTGTGCACGGTCGACGTCAACGAGTGTCTGCAGAGTCCGTGCCGCAACGGCGCCACGTGCGTGAACGTGCCGGGCGCGTTCCGCTGCCTGTGCGCGGCCAACTGGACGGGCACGTACTGCGGCCTGACGGCGGCGGCGCCGGCCGCCCGGCTGCCCATCACGCTCGAGCACATCGTCGGCATCGTGGCGTTCGTGCTGGCGCTGTTCCTGGTGGTGCTGCTGGTGGTGTGCTGGCGCCAGTCGCGGCGCAAGCGCAGCCGCACGCCGCGCCACCCGCTGGCCGGCAACCAGGACGCCTCGAACGAGATCCTGCTGCAGAACATCAAGCCAAAAAACCAGCGCGGCGAGTACAAGCGGATGTCCAAGGTGTCCAACTTGGAGGCCAACAGCTCGGTACGTGCGCTGTCACTAGGTGTCGACGAACATCGTTGCTCGATGTGAACACTTACGTGTCGCCGGTTCACAGCCAGGCATGCCATGTGCAGACTACTTTCACGTACCCGTGTTAAACGACCAAGAGACTTCAGGCACGTGAACACAGGAGAGTCAGGTGTCAAGATATTTTCTAGCTCAGAGATGTACATCAGGTGAAATGTACGAAGGTTGCGTTCGTTACATACGCTGTTCAGGCTCGACCCCATGTCCATGTGGGCACCTGTTTTCATGTGTGTCCGGCAGGTGGCAGCGACTCTGCCGGTCCGTCCGGCGTCGTTCACCGGCGGAGCCAACAACCGGGCCTCCGAGCCGCAATACTCGACGCTCAACAACCTGGACACCATCCGCAGCTACGGGTCGGCAGCCGACGACCTGGACGGTCCACCACACAGCGCCTGCCAGTACTTGCAGGTCAGTTACACCTTCCCGGGCCTGGGCGATCCGCTGCACAGTGGCTGCCAGTACTTGCAGGTCAGTTAGACGTTCCCCAGACCTGGACGATCCACCGCACAGCGCCTGCCAATAGTTGCAGGTCACTCACCGCGCATGTCTAGCGTCCTACTGTTGCGGTGAATGTTCCCCTAGTTTGACGCGTGACCTGTGACGACCTTCCTGTTTCTTGCGCACAGAACTTCAACAAGCCCACGGCGAGCGTGGCGCCCTCTATGGCGGCCACAGCCTCGGACATGAGCGCCACCAACACTCTGGAGAAGTCCTACCGGGACATAGACAAAAACATCAAGCCCTCCTACTACGACATGCACAAGATACAGAACGGTACGCATCTCCTGTCCTCCTTGTGTTTTTTTTCGCATTCGGCATTGGCGTCTAGGTTGTAGTTCTCACGTTGTTGTTGCGAGAGCTGTCATTTTCTGCCAGCACGGAAAAGCCAAGCAATGGCAGTGCATTGTGTTAATAGCATTGGTCTGTGCACAGCGTCGTGTGCCCGGTGTGTTTCCACACAGATTTCTTTCGGATGCCAGAGCTGGGTTGGGCGTGACGCGTGCCCCGCTGTCTGTGCAGACCTGACGGACCCGCAGCTGGCGGCACTGAACAGGATCCAGCTGCCGCCGCTGGACAAGCCGCGCCGTGAGGGCGGCGCCACCGCCGTGCCGACGCCGGAGGTGCCAGGTGGGACGCTCACGCACTCCGGGTGGGACGCTCACGCCCTCTGGGTGGGACGCTCATGCCCTCCCGGTGGACAGTGGGATGCTCACGCCCTCCCGGTGGGACGCCCACGCCTTCTCGGTGAGACGTTCATGCCCTCCTGGTGGACAGTTGGATGCTCACGTCCTCCCGATGGGACGTTCACGCCCTCTTGTGGGACGCTCACGTCCTCCCAATGGGACGTTCACGCCTTTCCGGTGGGACGCCCGTTCCCTCCCAGTGGCACGCTCACGCCCCCTCGGTAGGATACTCGCTCCTTCCCGGTGGGACGCTCACGTCCTCCCGGTGGGACGCTGACGCCCTCTCGGTGCTACGCTCGCGCCCTCCCGGTGGGACACTCACGCCCTCTTGGTGGGACGCTCGCGCCCTCCTTGTGGGACGCTCACGCCCTCCCGGTGGGACGCTGACGCCCTCTCGGTGCTACGCTCACGCCCTCCCGGTGGGACACTCACGCCCTCTTGGTGGGACGCTCGCGCCCTCCTTGTGGGACGCTCGCGCCCTCCCGGTGGGACGTTCGTACTCATTCAGTAATCGCGGGTTAAGGCATAACAAGTGATTGCGGTGTGAGTACAGTACGCTTCTCGCAATTAAGCACGTTTTTCATGTGTTATAGAAATTATTAGTTGTTCACCACAGCCACGCATTCTCCCACTCGCCAATGTTCGCCAGTGTACGCCGCCGTTCCTTTCAGACTACCACTGGGACTGTTCGGACTGGGCCCGCACCAGTCAGAATCCCCTGCCGAACATCACCGAGGTCACCGGGTCAGAGGTCAAGGACACGTCCAGTTACCATAGTAACGAGAGCAACGAGAGCAACACGGCCGTCCGCGCCCCTGCTGGTGAGTGAGGTCGACTGTTATGGCGTCAGTAGCACAGCTGAGTGTGGCGGCCCTGGTGGCCAGCCGCGCCGTGTGGCCTTTCGAAGCACGGAGGGCTCCTGCTGTCCGCTGGTGTCTGGGGGGGGGGGGGGGAGGGGGATGTGGTTGTGATGTGATCATCACATCATCAGCATCACATCAGCGTCACAAACTGTTCCTTGGCGTGTCGCCAGACTCATTAATATTACTTGTGCGAGAAACGGTTTTAAGCCTTCTGTAGTTATATTTGCTCCATGCGCTAACTGATCATTGTTTTGAGTGGTTTTGTGGTAGCTGTGGTATGCCTGAGTAGCTGCCAACGTTCGGCGTTTGGAATCATACACCCCTTTGTGCCGTAGTTTCTCCCATCGCGCATAATCACCACCAGTTCATGAATTTTCTGACGTAAATAACAATCTGGGGAACAGTCGATTGCTTGTAGCGCATACTGTAGACATGATCTATAGGTTTGTGACCTCTAGATCCCCTATCTTTCGATATGCCCCCGATTCAAGGTTTGTATGTGGTTTGGATGTGCCAGTCCTTCGTTCCAGGTGCCCGAAGGCGCTATGAGACGAGGGTGTAGGCTGCTGGAGCGTCGCGACAAAACGCCCTCCCTGTTCCTATGCCACGTAGAAGCTCTGCATACTGGTCACTGTTTATGTTCCTAAGGGCAACCAGCTCCACACAGTTCCTAATGTCATTGCGGGATTTTGTCATTAAAATAAGCTTGATATAACTGGAAGAAAGTTGCGCTGATGTTCGGAGGTGGCCCCTGCAAACGTCACAGTTACATGCTCCTCGAATTCCCGTGCTTCCTCGTGCAGATGCTACCTACTACAGTTGGATGTGCGTGTGGTAGATCAGGGTACGTGTCGCAGATAGCGGATATTGCGCATTTTATTGGAGCTCGATATAACCCAAGACCATAAGCCTTGTATATTGTTGAGATACCCCGCCTGTTGTCCTTCGCCTGTCCTTGGAGCGTGGATGTCAAAGTAAGGCCTCAGCGGGGCTGGGAAAGGCTTTGGCTTTTCTCTGGTTGGCTGCTTCTGGCATTTCATTGTGTTGCTGGCAATGACATATGCTTATTGCTTACTGCAGTCTTGCTTGGTGGGGTTGCACGATCATGACGTCATCACCTTGGAAAAACGGACCGGTATTGAAGTTCGGGCTAGAAGTTAAGCACTGGCGAAAACAGCGGAGCAAATACTCCTGAAAGAACACAATGCTGGGCCTTTAACTTGCTATATCCCTGGCGGGTTATCACTGCCTAATTTCTTCTCGCTTTGTGTTTTGCTATGAAGCCTTTTTTAAGTAACAGCAACCAAACATTACCAGGTTCCAGGCGGCTGACAATTGTGGTTAAAGCAGCTGGTTTCTGGTTTGTTTTCCCCTGCTACAAATGGTCGCCGGTCCCGTGTCATTTCTTCCAGCTACGGGGAGTGACAGCGCGAGGATGACATTGCACTGCACTGCCGGGTTGTTCAGTGTTGTAAAGCACATGCCAAGGACGTTTACTTATCTGGGTGTGGTATGCGGCGGCTGAAAATGAGGCTTTCACTGAATGCCCAGCTATCTGGGCGTGGTACGCGACGGCTGAAAATGAAGCTTTCACTGAAGTCCAGTAAGCCTTTGTATTTCTGAGTTGGAACTGGGCTTGGCCTTTTTGTTTCTGAGTTGGAACTGGGTTTGGCCTTTTTATTTCTGAGTTGGAACTGGGTTTGGCTACGTGCGGCGGTGTCGCAGAGCACAGCTAAATTAGAGATTTGCGATACGCTTAGCCACGAATTACATCTTTTTGGCTGGATTGTGTGACCAACACCTCTTGATCGGATTGAATCGCGCCGTGATAACTGTGTACTTCTTGCGGTTTTTCAGTGTCTAATTCCTACCAAACGGGTCAATTATTAAGGCTAACGGAACTTACGTCGCCGGTACGTCATTTGCCATTTGTGCTTTGACTGATATTTGCTAAACCTTCCAGCCTGTCCCGGGCTCGCAGGTCGTAGGAGAGATCCGTTCTCTGTCGTCCGAGCTGGCGGACGACAGGGAACTGATCTGGCTGGTTGGAGAGATCAGCACTGTGCCGTCCGGGCTGGCGTGCAGCTTCATGACGGCCTGTGCTGCGCAGGCGTGGCCATGGCGGACGACGACGACGTGCTGGAGACGCTGAACGAGGACCAGACGTCCGACTACGTGGGCGAGGGCGACGGCGACGACATCACCTCGGACCTGGACACGCTGCCCGAGCCGACCGACTTCGACCGCATTCTGTCGGCTCACGGCATCGAGCTGGGCGGCTCGGCGTCCGAGCTGTCGTCGGTGGCCGGCGGCGACCTGGCCTACGGCCTGGCGGCGCACCCCAACCTGTACCTGCCGGCGCACAGCGGCGCCGACACGGACGGCGAGGCGGACGGTCTGCTGCACCGGCTGGACAGGTGAGCCACCCTGTGACGGGCTCACTGGGAACGCCGGCGGCACGTTCAGCTGAGCACCGGGATGAAAGTCAGCGTCGTCTTGGAGCTGAGCAATGACATTGGCAACAGCCGCTATGACGATCCCGCTCTTCAAGCAACACAGCGTGACGTGATGTACTCAGAAGTCCGCTACGGCCCTGACCGTCCGTGTCCCCTGCCGCGCAGGTACCGGTACCCGGCGCGCAACCGTATGCCGCTACAGCTGGGTACGTACGCCGAGCTGGAGTCGCTGACGGCCGGCAGTCAGAGCGAGGACGGCGGCCAGCTGTGTGACATCGAGTCGGACGACGCCAGCTCGCGCATCTGACGGCGCCCGGCCGGCCGGAGCTGGGCCGCGATCTCAGAGGCCGGGCCGGCCGACGGCCGACGGCGCGCGGTGAGACGGGCAGCGCCGGGCCCGCCGGCCGGCCGGGCCAGCTCGGAGGAGACACTCGCGCTCAGGTCGGCCGGGCTGAGGCTGGCCCGCCGGCCCAGCGGCCGGCACATTCCGACGGCGGCCCTCCTGACGGCGGCCGCCTGAGTGCTACGGACCACGGCGGCGTGGCCTGAGTCTGTGTCGAGCTTGTGAGCCTGTGGACGATTGGCGGCTGTGGAGGCAGCTCTTGACTGCGATCTGTCCTGGTGTCCAGGCCGCCGCACCGCGACCCTTCTCTGGCTGCTTGGCTGACGGAGCCCCTTGCGAGGGCCGCAGCTCCGCGGCATAGCGGCCGTCTGGTGAGAAGTTCAGGGCAGCTCCCCGGAGACGCGGCCTGCCGGTCGCGTTGTGATGATATCGTGCGGCACATCATGGGACGCGTTGCGGACCGCGCCGCGGTCGGGCCGCTGCCGTGTTCGACACGCGGGCCCGGCTGGCCGGTGCTGTCACCGACTGGTCCTCGTGTGAGCCATGTGAAGCGAGCGGCATCTGGCCCCCGCCCTATGAGTGTGGTGCGCTGACGGTGGCTGCGTGGGGCGCCGTGCGGAACCTGGTCCGTGCCGACTACCGTGTAACGAGCTTTACTTTGACATGACCCTGACCCAGAGTGCACGACCCAGCAGCTAGCAGCCCGATGTCATGCTCGCACGCGCTCCCCATCCCTTGCATGTCCTCCAGTACAATGTGTTTTTTATTATTATTTCGCGACACTCGCTTGGATTTGTACCGAGATCATGTGCCCGTGTTTTGGGCTTTTCACTTCCTTGACTTACTAACCACCGGCCTGGCCGGTGTTGTGTTCGCCGCACTCGGTGCAGGTTTTGTCGCGCGGGCGCGTTTTGAGAGCGCTCGGCGCTGTGCCGGCCCAGCGGCCCCTTGTTTCCGCTGCTCGCTGCGGCCGCTGTGCGGTCGCCGCTCGTCTTCGGCGCCGCTGCCATTCTCCAGATCTCAGACCTCAGTGGTGATGCGCTGGCCCTGCGAGACCGCCGGACGCCGCCGCCTGCCGTGGGCGGGGACTGCAGTGTGGTGGCACCGGTCTCCTGACGCGGGCTTTTCTCCTGGCGATGCGGACTCTCCCCGAATCTTCTGCAGGTCGTCCGCCGTGGGGTCGTCAAGATCCCATCGGACTAGCTGCTGCAGCACGCTTTACTTGATGTACCGCAATCGCTCCATCGGAATGGTTACCGAGTTGACGTTGCTACCATGTGCCATAGCTGTGATACATACTGTACATAGCACATTGTATACCTGACAATTTTTGTATATAAATATTTTGCATCAAAGCGTCGTTTATACTCATTTAAAATTGGGATCGGAAGCGTTGGCTAAGGCGCAAGAACAGGAACGGAACAAGTAACAAAGTGTGGCTGAAGGCAGGTCCGGGTATTTTTAAGCGACAACACCCATGTCCGGTTTTCTTTTAAAGACCGTGCTTGGTTCACCTTATAGGCCAGTCCTGTCCACATTCGCGCAACAAGACAGGGCGTTCCAGGAAAAGTGGACGGATTCAAGTCGTTCATATTTCAGGCATTTGCTTGCATTGCAGTATGACATATGCATTAATGTAAACTGCACTAGACAACAGATACTATTTTGTACCTGACCACTGGTTTGCCCACGCGGCTCTTGGCTAGGCCAGCTCAGCACGTGCTCTGCGTGATTTCCCATCTCGCCCAAGGCACTGTGCCCCCCGACTGGTCCTTTGCTGCCGCAATCACAGCTTGGCACGTCTCTGGCTGGATGACCTTATACGCTTTTGTAAGTCCAGGATGGTTGTCAGGCTCTGAAGGTACATCTGTGACTTCCAAGATCCTCCCCTCCCCACAGAGACATCTGAGGAACTCAAATCGAGGGATGTTCAGACCGGTTGTTTTGCTCTTTCAGTGGAATCACTTTGCGTCCAAATCGCTCTGGGCCAGCATCTGATCTTTGTTGCATGCGTCGCCAATCCTGCTGAAACCCCGGCGTAGCATGTCTTCATCACAGACCTTTTTCAGAGGCTCAGAGCTGGTTAAGGACCGCCAAATACTGTTTTGCCGTTTGGGTTGCTGCAGCCCCTTGTTTTCCCGAGACCAGAAGGGGCAATGCCGCCTCGACCTGAGAGGCGTACTTTTCACTGTTCAGTGATACTTCTTGAATCTCATTGTCTACTTCAGCACGACCAAACGACAATTTTGGCTGTTGACTCTACCGTATAAATTAGCGTACGCCTGGTCTCAAAACTAAATTATTGAACATTAGTTATTGGTACATGGGTTAGGTTCGCACGGGCGTGGAAGCCAGACACCAAAACATAAGCGCTTTGTAGTTGACTGGTGGGGGCTTCACATATGGTCACTGCTTGGGAACAGATTGAGTTCTTGTCTCATTTACTTCAACGCAGTGGCCTCGCCGCAGCCTGCTCCTGCCCGGGCCGACGGATGGATTCGTGGAGGCTGCGCAACAAGACCTATCTCGCCTCGCTTTTACAATGTCAGTCTGAGTTCTTTTGGCTACCAGTCAGGGTTGTTTGTAGGGCTGCCATTTGCGATAAACTTCTGCACATGGCAGCGAGACTTCCCTGATAGTGCCTCTGGTTTGACCTGCTGTGTCTTAAAGTGCCGCTTTCCTGTGAATCGTGAAGATGATTGGTGCTTCTGCCATGTCCCACCTTAACAACTCTCGAGAGGCAATAGCGCAGTTACAGTGGACGAAAACATAGTCATGAAACACACTTGCATCGAGATGGCTTCCAAAAAAAGCCGCGTGCATTGTGTCGTTTCCTATGCAGATCGCTATTCCTTAAATAACGTAAGATGCGTAATGCATTAGCGAGGAACATTATTCACATAGATAAGAGAGAAGTATTAGCTTTATTCTTCGGAAAAACTAGGAAAATGGAGATATAGTTTGGTTGATATTTCGGCAACATGCCTTTATCGAAACAAAAGCAGAAGTCAGAGGCCCACTTCTAAGAAGTCAAAAGCCCACTGCTGCTTTTGTTTCAATAAAGACATGTTGCCGAAATATCAACCCAACTATAGATTTCCATTCTTCTGGTTTTTCCGAAGAATAAGGCTGATAAATAAATTCGTCTGTTTTTTTCGGGAGCTCCCGGTAGAAACCAGTGACTGGATGAACTAGACAACAGATTTCACAAGGGTACTCTCGCAGTACGACGCCCCACTCGCGACCGAGGCGTCGCAGGCAAAGTACGTCGCCTGGAAACAGCCACCGGACCGCTTTAGGATTTATTAAGGATCAACATTCGTCTTCAGTGCATGAACTAGATCGTTCTCATACTTAAAAAGCCGAACTCGGCTGGATAATGCTTGGGCGACGCGGAGTTCTCTATCTTTCACCTCAAGTTAGACCTTTAACGTCACGTGACACCACAAAATAAACGTCAGGTCTGATGTTCTCGTGCAATGATTGATCACCTGACCCGCTTTCAGCGAAATCGAAACTTGTGGCAAAACAAATCTCTAAATAAATTTCTCGGACACGCAGACGACAAGCCGCCAGAACAAAATGGAGCCCTACGGCCGCTTGTGCCCCCGGATATCCTGCCCGTCTGCACCCTTAACCCCCCCCCCCCCCCCTCCGCCACCAGTATCCGATCAACCCGGGGACGCAGGCGACTGGGCACGGCGACCCCAATTCAGCAAGGATGAGGAGTGGTAGGAGCGCGGGATGCGAGAATGCAGGCGATGAGGGGGCAGCGGTCGAGACAAGGAGCTGAAGCTCACGCACGGGCAGGATCGCTAGGGCCTGAGATCAACAGCTTGCGCTTTCCATCCGCCACCGGAGCTGGAATCCAAGGGGCCTTAGTCTTCTACACCGGCCGAAGCAAGTGCCCCTGCGGGGTCCGAACGCTGGGTGGCGATCAACCGGCGACCAGTTTAACACGCGGTCGGGTGGGGGTCAATTTGACCCCCGAAAGTTTTTCCAAAATGGTTTCCGAACAGCGCGGTGTAGCCGCGCCAAATTTTGCATAGCTGTAGATGATTGAAAAGCAGATCGTTTGGTATCAAAAATTTAGATTTGCCTCACAAGATCGCTGACCTACGGCAAAGTCAGACCTTGGATTTACCGAAAATGATTCCAAGAGAAACGTTCAATGTTGTGCAATAGCGAAGTGTTGGACAAAGGCATACATCTCTGAGATAGTTTCTTAGGCAACCAAGTGATTGAATGAACAGAGTTACAAACTTACATATAATTAATGAACAAACTGAATTTAGCTAGAGAAAGGTATGAAGGTCGACTTAAGGCAAAACGAACCTATTTTATTACTCTAGAGCTTGCTGTGTGGACTAGTTTTTTGGTACTTATTTCGAATATATTGACAATAGGAGCCGCACCATACATCTTCCATAGACTTCTAAAGGGTCAGGATAGGTCACTGACCTTAAATGACCCAGGTCAACATTTCGTTTTTAGAAACATACTGTCAAGCGTAAGTTTTGTCGCTTATTCACGTGCAAAACTTGAAGCAGTCTCATATGATTTTGCTTAATATGATCTCTGTTAAGCCAAAAAGGTCACTGACCTTAAATGAGCACCAGTGATCTTTTGCTTAGAACAGGTATACAGGGTTTGAGGCACTTTGGAAAGCAGTCTGAAGTTTGCCCTTGTTTGTTCTTATTTGACCTCAAGATCATGGTTTAGGAACATTAAACTTTGACCTAAGTGAGTTTACGTACAGACCAATACACCCTGTGAATTTAGTGTTTCTAGCTATCTTAGTTTCTGAGATCTTAAGGGGTCAAATTGGCCGTCACACTAGCAAAGGGTGCTCAACCGGCCACCTGGACGCGTGTTTAAGAGCGAAAATGCTACTGAAATACAACGCTGCTGGAAATGCTCCAGAGCTATGCATAGGCTGGCGAATTCCATGCGAGACGCATAGGCAAATTCACTGGTCAGGATGTAAGCTGAGCTTTAGATTAGGAGAACAATGATTTTGGAAGGAGTTCGTGGAATGGTTCTCTCCCGGCTACACCAGCCTGACACGGCTTGGGCCACGATACGCCCTGTAGAGTATCTCAGCTACTCACGCCCTGTATGTCTTCGGCTTCA